TATCAATATGTACACTCGTGTAATATTGTTAAAGTTCAACCCATCCTTCGTGAGTTTCTTTCAGAGATACTTTGTATACTATCCAAACGCAAGCTGTTTGCACAAAATGTGAAGTCTCCTTTTCACTTTTTGACAGCTACAACTACCACTACTTTCAACAGCATGACTTTCAGTGTGTTGAAGTGAAAAAAAGATCAGCAGCACTCTTGACACGGCAAATACTGTTTAACACAAGTCGCCTTGTTTCCCATTCACACCGTACTACTACTGTTACCCTCCTCTTCAACTATATAAGGACCAAAGACGATTTGCAATAGATGCCTTTCAGAAACAGCAGCAATACTGGCTTCAACACTATCACTCTTACGACTTACATATTCTTTAGACAAAACTTAACTTTTGGTAAACCCAGTAATTCAAAAAAACAAAGGCGTTTCTCAAAACGGACTAGTAGCTACAGTCGCTATCGTCAAAACATTTTACCAGGTGGACACAACCATGACTTTCAGCAGTGCTCTTTTGCTTGCTTTATTTCATGGTTCCCAACAAGGTGAGTATATTTTGAACTAAAAACTGTTCCCTTGCTTTCAAAATACAAGTATATTCAGCTTTCGTTATCTAAAGCCCCACATCCATAATATTTCAAAAGACATACTCGAATCAATAGAGAATTGATATAAAAGCACAACAATACAAACAATCATTGAAAAAAAGCAATGATGGACTCAAGACTTTCCTATGCTATCCTGAGAAATGCCTGTTGCAGAGTTACAGACCGATTACTACATCTTGAAAAGAGTCATATAGAAGACAAGGAAAACTAGTATACGGAATATAATTCTGTGTACTGAACAAAACACTCAACAGAGTGTCTAACTGCTTTCTTGCAGAATATCTTTGAAATATCAACCCAAAGACTGAATCTCAACAACAGACTACAAGACTAGACTATCAACTGCTAATAAATACGCAAAACTGCTCTGGAACACTTATCGACAAAAATAACCAAACTTGAGAGACAACTAATTGACTAAAGTACCAACACTCAACGACAGCTTAAACTCCTTTGTCTTTGTTCTCTTCTCGACAATGCTAACCTCAAATTTCCATACAAGACCACAAGTGAAATAACAACAAGTGTTGCATAAAGTATATAAAATCCAAAGAGATAATAAAAGTTGTAAATACTAAAAAAAACTACAGTCTACATGGAACTCAGAGCTCAGGACTCGATGGATTGTTCTAAAAGAAACATTTGAACGGCTTAAAAAAGAAACGTAGATAATAGAAATTCACTTGTCAAACTAAAACAAACGAAGAATTCGTTTTAGAAATTAAAGTCTGAAAAGTTTCAATAGCAAACTTGAACCAGGTCCACAGCCTTGACAAAACTCACTGAAACTTCCCTCCCATCCAACAATCAAACCATTGTGTTGAATTTCTAATTGGATTGTTATGAGAAGGATCGCTTTGTATTCTCTCCTTTCACTGGAGATATATTATTTTGAGTGACTAGTGAGTTTTATGAAAGAAAATATTCCACTTGAAGATATGTAAAAAGTTTCTGGAACAATAAGTGTGCTAGATACCATCAATCTCACATCTCAGTAATGTTGTGAAACGAGAAGAACAGTGTCGTAACAAAGGTCCTCTCAACTCCCTAGCGACAACGTAGCCCTTTAACAGAGTTGAGTTTGATCAATCTTGTCTCTGCAAGGTAAATTTGAAACTACTTGTGACCCTATTTTGATAACAAATCAAGAACGGTTTTGCTACAACCAGTTTTTGACTCGTTCTCGATCTGAGAACCTTTCTTTGTTGGTCACTCAAAATTAAGGAAAACTGTTTAAAGGTGTAAAGTGATCATTTTCCAATTTCAATGACATTAACTCTATTTGGCTTGCAACGTGAGAACTAGAACCTTTCCTTCCATGCAAATTACGCTCAAGGAACAATCTTTGTTCGATTACGAGTTATAAAGAAGAATAAAACGTGTACAGAAATAATAAGGACTAGAACAAACCTCGTATATTCAACCCTAGAATTGGAAAGTATACAGAGGACAGGACAATAATAAAAAACTGACCAAAGGTCGGGAATACTTTTGTCTATACACAAATTCGTACATAAACTACCTACGACAAGGAGGATCGAACCTCAAAAGATACAAGGCTATTGGTTCGTTCTCCACATAAACAACTTCTAGAGAGTTTTCACTGGTATGAGAGTAAAAGTGGTGATGCTTTCACTTCTCCTTGCACATATATTTCAAGATTCACCTTTCTTTATTACTTTGCAAAGAGGAGAATGAAAGATTCTTATTTTTCCATTATTTCTACGTTTATATTCTTTTCTTTTCACTAGGAGACGAAATTGATCCAATACATTTAAAAGAACAAGACCTTTACCAGTTCGGATAATCACAATCACAATATCAATTTGACTCTGCACAATTTTATTCTGCTGAATAATACAAAGTACAATAGAGACATCTTCCTTATGTTTAGAGCAATGTCCATAAAACTATATCTTTTCTTCTATATGTTTGACTTGTCCCTAATGGAAATGAACGTTTCTTGTATATATAGACAGTTTGTTTATACAAAACTTTGAGTTGTCTTTGATTCTTGTTACAAATATCTAAAAAGAAGCCTCCACCAGTGTATCCATCTGTTTATATTTCGCGAGAGTCTTCTGCCTAGTGTCTAACACGAATAACTTTTGTATTATGCACTCATGCAACGAGCTGATGTTTGAGAGAGTGGGAAGAAAGTAGGAGACAAGTGGAGCTAAACAAATCTTTCCTTGAATTTGCAGAGCTTTTAAAAGTTTTGTTTTCTTCGTACTGGAAGACATAAGAGTCCTCTTGGAGTTATCCATGCCCTAAAGCAGCTTTGTGTTTTATATAGTTTGCTTTCTTATCTATGTTCACAATTTGTGGTTTCTACAAAGTTCAAGAGAAGGCAGTGAAAACCTTTAAACCTAAACAGTCATGTTTACCTTCAAAAACATCTCAACTATATAGTCGACTATATGGAAGAGACAATTCAACTATGATTTAAATGCTATGATGAAAAACGAGAAGAGACTCGATAGGATAGACTCAATTGAACTGAATTGAACTTTTTTGAAAATAAGTTCTCTCTTAGCAGAATCCACAATATCAAAAATCACTATTGTCTGCAAATATTTTCAGAGGAGAAAGAAACAGGACCAGTTGACTCTCACAGAAATTGGATATTGATGATATGCACTTGTGTGCAGGAGAATGATTCGATCAATACACTAGTGCAATCTTTCAAATATTTCGAAGATACCTTTGAACAAAATTCAAAACTAAAAGCTTTTCATTTGAAGGCTATTTTTGGTGTCAATTTTGCAATATTGCAGAGTTGTAGCAATGATTCAAAATGAATAGACTATACATACATACATGTCGAATACAACTAAAATGAAAAATATCCTTTCTTGTCCAAATACTTAGTAAAGTGGTTACCGAAAGAATATCTCAAAACATTCTTCAAGTGTCTGCTATGTTGTCTTTCTAGCCAGTTGAAAAAAGAACAGTAACTTTTTTACTATAATTTTCAAAGACTGAGACAGAAAAAGGTTGTTTGTACATTTCACTTGGACTGTCCTTCCTGTCTTTTGTTAACTGAATAGAAGAGAGTTTTCCTCGGTTTTAGAACCAAACGAAAAAAATGGCAGCAAAAACTTGAGGCTTCAACTTAAGGACCAACACTGCGGTCTTAAAAAGAGTTTTAGCTTCTTGAAATTCGATAAAAGCTTAGATTCCTTTCGGTTTTATGTGTTTTTTTCAAACTGCATTTCTAGCCTTAGAATTCATATGAATGGCTCCCACAAATATGAAACTTGTTGGATCCAAGAGAAAATATAGCAAAGGTAAGAACAAATACTAAAAAAAGTATTTTAGTTTGCAATTCAAACTCTATCTCAAAAGTACTAACAACACTATATATCCAAACTCTGTTTTAGTGAATTAGACTGAAAACTCACCGACTCTTAGATAGGGAAAGTAACCCGGTTGCAAAGATGATATTCGATATAAAAAATTTCGTTTGACTATTAATAGAACAAGAGACATCTTAAATGAATCTACCCATGTGACAAACAGAGAAAAAAACTTTCTATTTCAGAAAGTCACTATTTACATAGGAGTTCTATTTATATTGCATTGCAAAGGACAACTTTGAGAGTGGAACAGAATTGTTTCTAATTAGTCAAAGGAAACCATATCCAATCTTCAAGTATTGTCATTCCACAACAATCACTTGACCGATAACTTAGGAACTACAACGTCTTTCAGCCAAGAGTCATGTTGGGTAAAAGTTCTTCAATATGGAGTGGCTTTCAGTTGGAGAATTGCTGAAGCTTTCAAGTTGGTACACTACTCGACCTTGACTCAAGTATAAAAGGCTTCTTCTTTAGCAAAACAATTTTTTGGCTCTGTCTTTTACTCTTTTTTCAGCATCGATGTGCAGAAAATGAACGATTATAGTTACTATATTTGAAGCCTTAATTGATGTCCTTCTATAAGACATATTCACAACTTGGTAAAAGTCGAACAAAGGATAGACAACTTGTGTAGCTATTACATCAATAATGGCTTGTATTTAATGATAAGTCAGTATGACAATCTACATAATACACTTCTCCAAATTCAATTAGATATTTTTGTATTTATAAACTGTACTACGAACGGTTACAAACTAACAGACTTCCCATTCACTGCAATTCTCTGTTTCCCACTGTATTTCGTCTGTAACTTACAAAAAGCTTGTATCTAATGAGACATGTATATAGGAGTTTGCGTGTAAGATAGTGTGGAAGATAGTAGAAAAACTCTCTTACAGTATACAAGCCATAGAAAGAGTACCCATCAATCTAATTCACCACAAAAACTCATAGAAACCTATTTCTTGTCTATAGTAAAAGAAAGTTTCTAGTTATGAGACAAGCAACAAAATATTCCTGATTTCTCTCTATTGTCATTGTGAGTCTAGAAGTGTCAAAGAGATGAGTTTTACCAATAACCAAATAAAGCAATCGCTCGAACAATAAAACATACAGTCCTTCCAACTCCTTTGAAAGTGAATTGATTTCGGATTGGCGGCGTGTAAAATGAGTTTGAGTGAACCGTTGATAGATAGAAAAGAAGATGTTTATTCTATTCTTCGAACTTATTTCCACCAGTTTTCTTCAGTTGACGGAGAATTGAACAATGTACGTCCTGCAGCTTGCTTTTCCCCTCAGGTCTTTGGAGCTGGCAAGAGTTTTGTTGGAGAAAATTTTTTAGAGTTTTTAAAAAAATTCGCCGACGAAGAAGAAGAGCAGACGAAGACGGAGGTTTTCAACAAGAGCTCATCGGGAAAAGTTGATTTGAAGATTTTTTCTTGGAAACACTTTGCGGAAAAAACTTTATCAGTTAGCTTACAACTAGGAGAGAGCTTTTCTGATGCTCCTTTTCCAAGTTTTCGAAAGGCTTTGATGTATAACATAGCTATGGCTACAGCCCAGTGTAACGGTATGACTGCCCGAGAAATTGTAGAATTCACGGACGCGGCGATGAAGCAACCTAGTGTTCTTTTTTTCCAGTATCTTCTCGAACAATTTCAGAAACAATATTTATTTTTGATGATAGACGAACTTAGCCAGTTGAGTTACCTCACCAAATACTATAGTGAACTCACCAAGAAACAGTTCATCGAGTCTGACCCAAAATATGTACCTTTTCGGAACTTCTTCCGCATTTTACGTGATTTGTTGATTACAGGGAAGGTAATTGTCTATTTGGCAGGTCGAACTGCTGAAATCTCAGCCCCCTTGTCTGATACTCGCTCCAGTAGTGTCACCCTCCATATGTTGCGGTTGAATCCCTTTAACCTCCATGATATTAACAAATATATTGAGCTGGCAACTTATGATGGAAAGTCCTTGAAGGACNAGTTATTGCCCTCCGATGATTTACAACATCGATTCGTAGAATTGTTGAAAAAGAAGACAGGAGGTATTCCGTTGATTGTAAGAAATACTTTATTAGCCCTAGTAGAGAAAGTTGCAAACTTATCTCAACCTGTTATCAACGATGAAAATATGGAACCCTTATTAGATAGAATCTTTCACTTGGTACTACTAGAGTCGGTGACGTTTATTGTTCCAGAGATACTAGATTCCGCAACCCTTCTTCGATATCAATTTGTCCTTTTGAATTATCAGCTCGGAACAATTTTTCCAATTGACTTTGTAATTACTCTATGTGGAACGAGAACTTATTTGATGGACTTGCTTGCAACTTTTGGGTTTTATTCTGAAAGTTGTGGAATTGACGGGATTGATATGGGCATTGAATTCAAGATTGGTTGTTGTGAATTTATATTGAGAGCTCATAGCAACTACAACTTTTTCCGTGAGGCTACTGAACTCTTTCCTTTATCTCCGTTTAGTTATATTCCCGACACTTCAACAGCAAAGGGAGTCTTCTTTGAAATTGTATTTATGAAGATCTTTCGTTTTCGCTTATTAACTTTTCTTCATTCTAATTCCTGGCCTATTGTACATTCTGCTATTCCAGGAATTTTCCAGGGTTCTTTTATTGAACAGGACAATGTTTCTTATTCTATGGAATCTACAAAATCTTATGATATACCCATCTTGAGAAATGTCTCTGATTCATTTTCTGACTATTATAGAGAACATTTACAACGTTGTGGTATTTTTGTTCCAAAAGATGGCAATTCTAGTGGCCCTGATGCATATGTTGTATTCCATAATGGACAAACACGTTATGTTGTTGGATTTTCATTTACATTTTATCACAAAACTGAATTTTCGAAAGCAAATATTAAGGAAGAAGCCAAAAAATTTTTTAAGGGAGTTGTTTCCGTTTTGAATGACGAATCTTTTTCATCTGTTCAACTTTGTTTTCAGTTTGTGGTGGTAGTTTGTACTAGATATGATCGATCTGTAGGTTTCTCTGTTGAAGAACAAAATATTGTTGAAGATGCAAGTTATTTGGTAACTGAACATTCTACTACTAGGTCAACTTTGAATGAAAGAAGTCGATCATGCATGCAATTGATAATTGTTTCCCAAAGGAACCTTGAACGATTTTTGGGAATAGATAATGTCGATATTTTGAGGAAAATTGAGAAAGCAAACCGAGAAGAGTTCAGTAAAGACTTTTCAGTATGGTGCAAAACTCTCTTTGAGTCGATGTCCAATGAATATGTTTCATATTTGGAAGCTGAGCAATCAAATGTTACTTCAAGAGTGGCTCAAAATATAAGACAGAGAACAAATGAGGAGAATCGTATGCAAATGGAAGGTTTTCAAAGTTCTATACAACTGAAAAAAGATAAAACAAGAAGAGAACAAGTATCGAGTGGTATAAATACACATTTTGACTGGAAAGAGTTTCTTTGCAAGTCTGCGTTATTACCGGAAGAAGTTGCCACTCGTTATGCTTTGACATTCCCTCGTATATTTGGAGATAATCATCAAGTGATTCGAAGAAAGTCACTAGAGTTGATGGGTATACCAGAGCAATACATTCAAAAAATTCTAAGAGCTGCAGTATTACTGAAAGAAAACACAGAAATGAAAGAATAATCAGCTGCTTTCAAATTTGTGTTATTGAGGGACATTCTTTTTAGAAAATAGAGTGAAAAGTGGAAGAGGGAGGAGAGAAGAAGTTCTTTGTGCTTTCATTCTAATTGAAGCTTACAACAACAAAGCGTATCTCTGTTCGTAAGCTTTTATATTTTCCATGAAAACGGACGAATAAAACTATGTTTTTTGTGTTGAAAAACGCTGGTTGAGTTTAACTAAAAAGAGAGAATGTGTGCACTCAATCTTCGAACTCATTGTTGCTTGGCTGGCAGCGTAAAGACACAAGCTTCTCAATTATGCAAACTAGTCAGCTTTTGAATACTTGAACGAGCAAGTTGAGAACATAAGTTCCACTGACTAAGAATTTGCTTGATCTGCTTGTGGTTTCTATGCAAGGAATGATCCAGAAACTACTTCGTCGTTATTATACCTAGAATCTGTAGTTTTTTCACTATTTATTGCAAATATGCGTCGAGTAACTTCTACTTATATCTAGCAATGCCAAGGACATATATGTGGCCTGTGCCTTTTTGGACATCTTCTCAAGTTTACTTTTTCTTTCAAATTTTAGAATCTGCATATTCTTATGAATATATCCAATGGTTTTTCTCTTGTTGCAAAGTGAGCAAGTCATCATAGTCTCGTGAATGATGTTTGAAAAGTTGAGAATTTGGATGGAAGAATATTGTTGCAGCATATATACATATGAGGACCATGTTATGTTTATAAAAAAAATGACAGATTATCTATAAATAAATAAATGCAGTACTGAATAAAAATGACATGTTGGTTCAGAAAGACTATAGAAGAATAAAGATTCTCTCTCGATCAATGCCTTATTCGAACCTTCCTATGCATTCTAGATAGCAACACTCTTGAGACCGTCATGCGGTTTGAATCACAATATGAAAGCCACAGCAAACAACGATTCTTCTGATGAATTTGAAGAGGGAAATGTATTCAAAAATGGCCTTGACAATTGAGAAGCAGAAGAGTCCAAGGCCAACTATAAAATCTAGTAAAACTGCCTCAAGGGGACGTAAGTGGTAAAAGTTTCAAAGACTAGTGATAGCCAATGTAATTGAATCCTTGCTCAGCTATTGTAGAACAGCCTTGACAAAAAAGTATTCCATAGACGGGACTATAAGGCATTCTTCGAGTAGTACATGATATGATACAATGAGAACCCTTCACAGACAACTTTGCTCTGCACGGTGGAATACTTGAATTTACTTTCAAGGCACCACTTTCAACTCAATACAACAACCTTGTCAATGAATTGCGCTACTGTTATGACAGGCAACCTTTGCGAACTTTCACTGCATCTAATATTATCATGCTAGTCAAAAGTGAACACAAGACTTTGACTAGCAGAGAAATGTGACAACAAGAGAGAAAGGTACTCAAATCGAACAAGAAACGTCCTGCAAATGAAGACCATACCAGCTCACTTAAAGTCGTTAAGGAATTGGTTGCTGAATTCAAGTTCTTTCTTGAGGCTCTATCACCAGAATTAAAAGAGAATATACTCTTAGGACACAATTTATGACCAAGCTTTATGGAATCCTCAAGATTTCTAAACTCGAAAGAAAAATGCTGGTTAAACTCAACTTGCTTTTGCACTTGCAACGACAAGTATGTGTTTTGTTGCCGTTTCTTCACAATCAGTTTCCTTGGCCAACATTGATTCCTTTTGTATTCTATAATAACAAAAATTAAAAAACACCTATTTCTCTTTACNCTTGGCTTCTCTTTTCATAGAACCCTAAAAAACAGTACAAAAAAACGTACGGCACTTGGGGTTCCCGAGTGATCCCTCACCTCAGTACTAACCAAGCCTGAGGGCGCTTAGCTTCTGAATTCGAAATGGGTTCAGGCGCATGTGCCACTAGTATGGCCGTACATATCGGGAAGAGGTGTTAAATACTATTTATACAAATGGACATTATTTCATACAAGTAATTGCAAAGAAAAGAATCCAGTGTGAGAAACAGTAAATATTGTAATGTGAATAGTTTTTTATACAAACACAAGTTGCGAATTTTTTATATAACCAAAGCGTTTCTCATTATATCATTTGAGAAAAAAGTTCTGTACAACGTCCATTCAAAAGTAACTTGAACCTTACTAAAAGCCATTCCAAAGTTTATAACATGGATAAAACCAACTCTTTTTTGAATAGAAATTTCGTCACGATATACTAGAAACGTTTCTACAATATAAAAAAAGTATAAATTTGTACTTGATAAATAGCCATCTTCCATTATTGATACTATAAAAGGTATATTTCGAGTATCAACTGATCGCAAGAAATTTTGCAAATAATAGGAGAATACGGTGACCTCGACATTTCCTCCTTTTAGCTGTGACTGCATTTAGAAACATGTAATTGTCATGGGACCCATCGCCTACTTGTCTGCCAAATGGATGCAAGCGGCATCGAATTTCCAAAATTAGTAACAATTCTGTGATTATCCAGATTACGTCTAATCAAATGAAACGTCAGCATCGACGCTTTAAATAGCTTTATGAAATAAAAACTTTAAGCGTATATTGCTATTCTTCTTTTTCGTGTCTCCAATATTTTTTTTGACAAACATGAAGAGATACCTTTGTTTATATTTATCCGTTATACTTGTAATAGCATTAACAGTTAGTTTTGCAATGGCAGATACAAATACATTTTCTTCCTCCTTTTCCTCTGGAAATGGAGAAGCTTCAGGATTCTCCTCTTCAACGGATGGAAAGCAATCCTCCGCATCCAACTCCCAAGTCGATTCTACTGGAAATGGATCTGCTGCTTCTGAAGATTCCAGCTCTACTACTTCTCAAGGCACCTCTAGTTCATCCATATCTTCTTCTGTAGGCTCTGCCAACGCCAAAGGTATTACAGCAGGTAACAATGGTAAGAGTTCAACAGCAGCTGGTTCTAGTGCGTCTTCCAGTCAAGATGGTGCTGCAATAAGTTCAAGTGGTTCAACCAGTTTTGATAAGAATATTAGTGGAGTGAACTTTCAAGGTTCACAAACCACTACTTCATCTTCCTCTTTTGGAAGTGGACAAGGGGATTCTGCTTCTGATAGTAATACTCCTAATACAAGTTCAGAAAGCACTACAGGAACAAGTGGCAACGCTGCAGCAAAAGACTCCTCAAGTAGCACTTCTGGACCTAGCGGAGTGACAAGTAGTACAAATGCCAATGCTAAAAGTAGCTCTAGTGGTTCAGCAGCAGCACAAGGAACTGCCAAAGCTTCTACAAACTTGAGCTGTGTTTGGCAGTACAAAGAAAAGTGTTTACCTTGTGCTCACATTGAGAACGATGTTTGTAAATGTTACTGGAATGTATCGGATCAATGTATATGTACGAATTTAACTTGTGCAAAGCCTTTGTTTCAAGCAAGTGTGGAATCCAGTGCCACCGCATCTTCAAGTGATGGTGGTTCTTCTAGTGCAGGAGCCAACGCTGCTTCCAGTCAGTTGAGTGGCGGTGCCAAGTCTCAAGCACTAGGTTCAAGTACAGGCTCAGGCTCCGTCAGTGCTTTGAGCCAAGCACAAAGTATTTTGGATCAGGCAGAAGGCAGTGTTCAAAGTCAAGGTTCTAGTTCCAATGGAGGAGACTTTGGTTCACTTTCTGGTAGTTTCTTTCGCCAAGGTATCCAAGTGACAGCTACTTCCAATAGCTCTGAGTCTTGTTCCACTGTTGGTCCTTTTCAACTTGACTCTGTACGCTTTTCTTTTCTAAACACTGCTGATGGAATGGTTTTTCTGCAAATTTGTAGCACGGCATAAGTTACCTTTTGTTAATAGTAAGTTTTTTTCTTAAAAAAAATTGGAGCGACTTTGAAAAAGTTGACTTGGAAAAAAAAATTGGTTTCACTTCTTTTGGGTATGGTTTCGAGTGTTTGTCAAAGGTAGCAACTGCAATCACTACAAAATTGCAGTTAGTCGCTGACAGGAGTAAGGTTAAGCAGAGCAGGTCAATAAAATCAATCCACTTGAACAACTTTGATAAAAATGTCGTCAATCATACTTGGGAGACATCAATAACATAAAAAAAAAAATTCTCAAGAAATATTTCCAACGTAATATCTTCTCAACCTTCTTCCAAGACAGTAAGAAACGACTAATGAATCAAAAGAAATTCAACCAACTTTGATAGCTATTGACTTTACAACCAAAGAACTGCTCTTCAAAATCAAAACTACTTCAATTTTTAATAAAAGAACTTCTTATCTCAAATGGCTTCTCGTGTTTAAGATTTACTCAAGTAACTCGAGGCTAACGATTGGACAGTGAGACATAAACAGTCCAAGATTCCAAAGTATTACAACTGAGGGGACACAAAATCAATTAAACTATTTCAATGGAACATATGTGGAAAATTTTCATAAAAAAAGAGCATCAGCCAAGCCACACCTGCAATAGAGAAGAACCTCGGTCACGCAAGCTTGTTTGGCAACTGTAGAACTTTTCTTCAGATTCGAATGATTCTTAACAATCAAACGTTCACAAGGGAAATACATTATAGCCATTGATAGGCAAATTTTCAAGATGAATACCTTGCTCTTTCAGGTGCTTTAAATAATACTATTTTTGCGATTGCCATCCTTGTATAAAGTTTTACTGTCTTTCATTGAACCGAATTGGATAAATTGAAGAAAACTTGCTGATAAACTTACAAGATTGAACTAACTTGGACTTTTGATTTCATCTTCATTGACCTGATAACTCACAAAAAAAGGCACTTGAAAAGGCCATTTGAATTCAAAGTCTTTCGAGAATTTGGGTAATTTGTATAAAGCACACAGTGCACACTCCAAGAACTTACCATGTTTAAGTTGCAGTTCAACCGCAAAACTATTTCTTCTACATGTTGAAGGTGATCAGAATGCTATTAAAAAGATAGAAAGAAGATAAATGAGAGTCAAGTGTCAACCGAAGTAGTAAGAGCTGATCGAAATATGAATGGGTTAAGCTCGGTTGGAAGTCTCTCTTGTCCAAAGGAGCAGCAACCTAGCTGATTGCTTTAGGGAAAATAATACATTTGAAAGTCTTAGGGCGTAGAAGCGGGTTCTTTGGCTGTTCGTCACATAGACTTATAAAGTCTATCAGTTCCCCTGACAGAGATTCCGTAGGCAGAGTTTGCTTCGTCGCACACAGCAGGAAGCTTTAGTTTGTCGTCTTGATAGTAATTTTCGTTTCACCACTTGTAACTCTAGGACTGTTTTAGCTCTTTCATGTTGCCCGCAATAGTTCCAAAATCGTAGTTTGCGGAAAGGGACAAGTTCGCTCCGAAAATTCATCTCTGCAAGTCTCACAACAGACAATAGTACGCAATATGAAGGCTTGTTTTAGTAGGAAAACCTTCCCTGAAAGTCGTCTAAAGGCAACTAAGGTGCCTTTCCTTGTTGGCGAGCAGAAGCTCGGTGAATGCTTCCTCAGGTATATGGAAAAATATTTAACATTGCCTTTATATATCAAGTATTTTACCTTTCCTGTTTAGGACTTTTTCTTTTGTCCCCTTCTCATAGCTCATATTATCAATCATCCTCCTCAGAACATGCTACGTACTATGCTTCGAAAGCTGTGTGACAAGCAATTAACTCGTTCTTGAGGACTAGAATAGGATGATAGCGTAGTGCAAGGAAACTATATCTCTCCTAGAATATGAGAAGAGTGGACTGCCACAAATTTGATTTTGCTTTTAGATAGCACTTTTTATTGTTTTTGAGAGGATATTTCAAGGAGCTAAGAGTATCGGATAAGATAAAAGGCAACTAAATGCTTAGGAAAAGTAGAGAGAATACATATTCGTAGAACAGGACCTTGTGCAGCTACAAAGCCAATACAATGACTTGTCAAGAGTGCAACCATGAGTAACTAAAAATAGCTAAACAAACAATGTAAAAAAATAAAAATTGAACAATTCAGTATTATATGAATCTGCGTGTGAAGAATATTTCTACAATGGAGACAATGTTTATGAAGAAAAAGATGAGTCAAGTTTCCAAAGGAGAAGACGCTCTATGTAAATGGATGCATTCTTGAGGAGCAAATATATATTCATTTATCGATCAATAGATAAGGAGACTGACAAGAATTTAACCCTTTCTAAAGCCTTATTCAAACTTTCGATACATTCTGAATAGCATCAACAAAACTCTCAATTATGTCCTGCATTCTGATTTGCAATAAGAGATGCGACAAACAACAGTCTTGATTTTGTTCACTTAAAAGAGTGCGAGTCCTCGTTGAGGATGGTTCTTGTTCCTAAACTCATCCTTCCTTGAACGAGAAATTGTATTTATCGCTATCTTTGGAGTCAAACTCAAATTAGACCAATCATCTAGCAGAAAACAACACCTTCAAAAATAGCTGAGATAGTATAATAAGAATTCAAATTGAATCTTTTACAGGTCATAATAAAAGTTCAAACTCCTTCGCTGCCTTTTTGAAAGGAATTTAGAGGCGATCTATTTATTTCTTCTAATTGTGCCAAAGCTTTCTTGCCTCTCACTAACAGCAACACATCAGCACAACCAATCAACGATCCATAGACAATCTCCAACTCCAGAGAAAAGACTTCAACAATTCAAAAGATGCGACTATCCCAAGAACAAGAAAAGGAAGTATCTGGAATGGCCATCAGCAGTTGAGAAATTGAATCCATTCAAGTCTTTGAGAAATAAAGTTTCATGTTCACAAACTCAAAAAACAGGAACACTTGTTACATCAGCATCGTATCCATGATATTGCAATTTTCGACATATTTAACAAAATAAACTGCAAAAAATATGTAACGATATCAAAATGTCTTCAAATTCCGTGCAAAAACAAATAAGAATCATTCCCCATGAAATGAAACACTTCAAATGGTTGCTCAAAACTCCATCTGGAAGAATCTTTACAGAAAGCGATTTCCCCTCCACACTTTTCGAGTCATTTCAAATCGAACATAAATCCCGCTCGGAAATATTTTGGTTTAACTTGCAAACTGTATTTCTTTTCTCTCTTTATCTCAAAGAAAGATGAAAAGGACATATGTACCTAATGTATTGACCAGACACAATTCAGACTCTCAAGGTAAGATAAAACTTTCATTGTACTACAAATATAGCCTTTGTAAATAATATCGAATACAGGAATAAACCTACATAAGAGCCGAGAGAGACTGCTTCAAAAAGAAGAGAATAAGACTTCTATGCAATATCTTGACTTTAGAATCAGCAACACCATGGCACTTGTCACAATGGAAAAAGAGACCTTCAAGTCCAACTTCTTCGTCCCATCAAGAAACTCGAATCCTAAGTCCATCCTTAAATAAGCTTCGGAAAAGAGGTAATACAATTCTTTTGATATGTCTTGCAGTTTTATCTATTGCAACATCTTCTTCTTATTCTTATAGTATCTATAACCATCTCTAATGATCCGTTACTTCCGTCTGTTCCTACTCAACAAGACAATGAAAGTCTTCCCGAGAACAAAGATGAAAACAAGTCAGAAATACTCCAATGCCATTCCTTACCCGACTCGAATAGTAATCTTCAACAAAGACAGAGAACTGATGAAAGCAGGTTTGTCGACTCTGAAACTGGAGAAACATTTCGACAACAATGGAATTTATCATCTTGTTCTGAACCAACAACCCTACAAACAAATACAGTTGAAAACTATCAACAAGAGGTTTCTCCACAAAGACAATGCCACTTGTCGCTGAGAAACTTGTGGCAAACCAAAGAATGTACATTGCCCAATTCTACTTTTGTAGAAAACGAGGAAGCTTTTAAAGCGATTTTCCCGGAAATGGATCATTTTCTCGAACCTTGGCTATCTCTTGAAAATGAAAATGCTGATCAAGACGAATTGTCCTTGTTCTGGACGGATTTCTTTTAAATCGGAATATTTGTGCAAAAACTAACAGTTTCCGATTCTCTCTTTTGGTCTTTATACCTTTACGAAAATAGAAACGCTAACTGATTCCAACGTCAATCTAAGAGTACCTTCGTCGTCCACCTCAATTATCTGTGGCTCACTATGTAAAACATTCTTCCATTTCTGCTTGGGTAATATACAAGGCAATTCTTGTCGAACTGTATTCACATGAAATGGAATGGTACCAGACGAGTCTGTCTTTCGTAAAGCGACTAAAGCACAGTCTCCAGTTATAGCATCATGTCGAAGAAAGCAATAAATGCCTTCAGAGTCATTTATCGAAACAGTATGAAAACTTCCATTTCTTAAGCTGCTATGTGCATTTCTAGCTTGAATGGCAAGTTTGATTCGGTTCGAAATGGCTTGCATGGCCTCTTGACTTTTTAAGTGAAGATAATATGGCTCACTATTGACTTTCTCATCTAACCAAGGAAATGGCATACGATTGGCAGGATCACTAGCATATAAAATATAGACAACTCAAAAGTCTCTCAATGTTAACTCACCTTTGCCAAGTATCATCCATTATTCGAGGAATACCAACAAGTCCCTTGATAGATACATACAGATGTAAGCAAACATAAGAATCCAACTACATAAAAAGCATCATACCACTTCATCTCCATAAAATAAACTTGGTGCACCAGGCAAACTCATTTGTAAAGATATTGCAGCAATCAACCTTCGAATTGCAATGTCCCAAGCATATTCCGGATGATTGTACAAGTTAGGATTCATTTGAGAGGTATTGGGATCTAACATAAATAGAAGACGATTGGTATCATGTGAACCTAGAATGTTCATCATTGCCGGAATAACCATTGGGGGATACTTTTCGAGAAAACTTTGAATATGTCTATCCAGTCTTGAAGGTGACAAAGGTTCAATAGGACCGGGATTCCAACCCAGTTTGTGGTTGGTATCGGAAAAGGAAGTGTCCAACCAGAAGCCTATGATCGTATTTCCAAGTGGATAATTCATGGAAGCATCCCACGCATTTCCAACAATCCATGGCAATGAATCTCCCCAATATTCACCAACAATATAAGTTTCAGGTGACAATTCTAAAAGCTGACTACGAAACCCGGACCAATAGCCATTTTCCTAGACACGGCGTTTGCAAAGATAAGAAGTTTTCTTATGAGTTTTACTTACAGGTTCATCAAGGCCTGGATCGATTTCATTGGCAACATCCAATCTCCATCCATCAATACCTTCCAAAAGCCACCTTTGACATTCATAAGACAAAAAGAAAAAGAACTCTCAACATATAATTACCTCGTTGCAATGCTTTCATTTCCTCCCTTTTTCCATATAAAATTACGAACAGAAGGTAAGGATGACTTCAACACAGGAAGCGTATCAATGCCAAACCATGATTTGAAATTGGCTGTATCTTTGTCTTTTGAATAAATACATGGACCATCCACAGCAGGTAAGAATTCAAACCAGTTTCTATAAAAAGAGCAAAATTGAAATATATGCATCAAACACAAACGAACAACTCGTATACCGATACGGAGATGATGCGTTGAGACAAGCTCCTCCATTCCAACGATTGTATCGATCAAAATAAATACTTTCAGAACTGACATGATTAAAAACACCATCCAAAATGATACGAAAGCCTTGTGCTTTGGCAGAAGAAATCAATCTACGAAAAGCTACAATCCCACCAAATTTCTCAGCTACTTTGGTATAGTCTATAGTATCATATCCCTAACAATTACATATAAAAAAATAATGTATAATAACAACAATCTATATCTTACGTGATTGGATGGACTCTCAAATATTGGACTTAAATAGAGTACATTTACTCCTAAACTCCTTATATAGTCCAATTTCTCCAAAATGCCTTCCAAATCTCCTCCATAAAATTCTAAACTGGCCAATCCCTATTTCATAATAATGTTGAATAATAAAATTCATTTCTCAACCAAATACTCGCAATTACTTGACTAAGTTGTTCATCTGTCATCGTTATCAAAGGCTCGTTCCAACTGGAATGAATGAATATTGGTTTTTCATAATAAAAGTTTCCAGGTTGTGGATCATTGGAATCATTTCCTATTCCACTCATGTTCATTTCCTTTGACAACTTTCTTCAAATAAAACGTACCATTTCGAAATCTATCCACAAAAATATGATAAAATATGGCATCTTGAAGCCATCGAGGTGTCGAAAAGTCGTTACGATAAGCCGTAATAACCCTTTTCAATGTTATGAACATTCCAATCCATCAAATATGAAATAAACAGAGCAAAACATACCAACTTCTATCCAAAGAATTCTCATAAGCTTGACCAAAACCTCCCAACAAGTCTTCCATCTGCTCATAATACAATATGTTTCCATGTTGAGTTCCAACAATGAATCGATACCAAAAGAGATTGCCACTTTCTCCTCCTTTTGTACAATCTTGACCTCGTTTATCGTAACACCAGGCTTCTTGTATGCTAGTATTCACTTTGCCCATCCAAAAGTCTCTTCCCTCTTTGCTTTCTACAAAAGACAAATCAACACGATTTTCTTTACTATCTCTGTGATTCCAAAGACGTATGTATCCATAACGAATATAGTCTTGTTGAGTAGAAACAACAAGAGATACAATAGTACCGACAGGAACTGCACCAACTGGAGATCTATACACAATATCTCTGCTGTTATGATAAATAGATCCCAACTTATCGACGTCATCCATAGAATTGTCACTCTGGTCTGAAGAGGAAGGATAAGAAGTGTCTTCCGTCGACTGATCTTGGGATTCTTGTTTGTGCCCAAAAAGGAAACCTTGCAAGTATCAGTAAAAGAATTAATAGTTCAACTGGAAAAAGCCTTACTCAACAAGATAATTAGGCAAATACTTCCAAATAAAAGTACAAAACAAGCCTTCTTGCCATATGTTCTACCAAACAAGGACCAAGTTCCACGACTCTGCAGTGGGGCATTTTGTGAGCTGGATGAAACAAGAAACTGGGAGGTTTCTGTTCCCCATTCGCTTCTTATGTTTTCCAACTCGTTTTGTGTTGCTGTTTCTATTCCTGCTTTCATCGATAGAAGGAATCCAAATCATCAATGTATTCAACAAAATAGAAAAATAGCTATAAACGATGAAAGACAATAAGCTTTATATTGTCCATAAACTTTTCATATAAAAAAAACACTAATATTCTCCAGACTCGTCTTCTTGTTTCTTCTTCAGTTTGATGAGATCATCAATACGTAGAATTGTAATTGCGGCTTCCGTCGCCAACTGAATAGACTTGATCTTACTCATAGCTGGTTCCAAAATACCTGCTTCTAAATTATCTCTCAAATGACCATTCTCTAAATCCAAACCCATATGTGAAAGATTGCCTTTGTTCGAATCTAACTGTGCAGCATTATGAACAGCACGTAGTTTTGCAATCATATCGGTAGCATCTAAGGCCGCATTCGCTGCAAGTGTTTTGGGGATTACCAACAGAGCATCAGAAAACTCTGCAATTGCCAGCTGCTCACGTCCACCAAGTGTAGTCGCAAAGTTTTCTAAAAATATTGATAGCGATGCTTCAACGCAGCCTCCTCCTGGGACCACATAATTGCTTTCTAAAGCTCTTTGAACAGCACAAAGACAATCATGTAATGAACGAGACATTTCGTCACACATATATTCATTGGGACCACGCAAAACAATTGTTCCACTAGCAAGATTCTTACAACCTCGAACAAATATAAACTTGTCATCTGAAATGGTTTCCTCAACAACTTCTTCAGCTGAACCAAGAAAAGAAGGATCAAAGCTCTCCTCGCCTCCCAAATCAGCCATAGTTAACTAACAATAAGGTTCACAACTCTAATAAATGAATCAAACACTTACTTGAACAGAGGCACCAGTAGCTTTTGCTAAACGCTTCATATCATCTTTGGCAACACGACGAACTGCAATGGCATTCTTCTCAACAAAATATTTCAATGCCGCATCATCAATGCCTTTGGTTGTAAAAATAGCATTGGCTCCAGCTTTTAGTATAGCTTCAATTCTACTTTTTGTTACTTCATATTCCTTTTCTTGAATTCTTTCCAACTCTTTAGGATCTTCCACTAATACTTGAACTCCCATCTTCATCTTGGAACGGCGCAAATCGAAATCTAAACAGGCAATCTTGGCAGGGCTTACTCGTAAAGGCATGCCTTGAGAAGCACGTGTCACATTCAAACCAATGCCTTTTAGTAGTTGAGAATCTCGGGCGCCCTTTCCACTCTTCTTTAAAATGTTTATAGCTTTGATTGGATATTTGTATTTTCCAACTTCGGTCTTTCTCTTAACAGCTAATACTGCTTCTACGGCAAGATTGGCAAAAAAGTCGATCTCAGATCCGATAATTTTAGAGGAAATGGCTGTTCTTGCAGTATTCAACAAGCAAGACTTTCCTAGCTTCTCTACAGATACAGCAAAGGTATCGCGAAGGAATCTGCAAGACTCTCGCATGGCTAAACGATATCCTGCAATGATATTTGTAGGATGAATACCTCTTCGCACCAAGTCGTCTGCTCTTTTCAAAAGTTCCGCTGCCAATAATACTACAGATGTCGTACCTAGAAATATATCTCAACAATCTGTTCGGTAAACAGAAAGTGTCAACTCATCCGTACCGTCACCTACTTCTTCATCCTGTTGTTGTGCCAGTTCTACAAGTACTTTGGCTGCTGGATGTTCCACTTCTAATTGTTTCAAGATGGTAGCACCATCGTTAGTTACAATAACATCACCCATATCGTCCACTAGCATTTTATCCAACCCTACGGGACCCAAACTACTTCTCAAAATATTCGCAATCGCAATACAAGCTGTGATATTTTGTGTTCTCACATCTTCACCTGATTGTCTCTCACCATATATTGCCAAAGAAGACATAATAAAGTATTTTCGACGACGAGTAGTAGAAAAGTAACTACTCCAAAATAAACAACGATGGACAAACTTGTAATGAAATGAACAACAATTCCCGCGTCTAGAATGCTCTATAAAAGAGAATATCCTACGCCTTTACAAAAGTCAACTTTTCAAATAAGACAAAGTATCCTTTGACAGTTTTTTAGGTGTAATTCCCAAATCTAACAAATTCAGGCTTCCTGCAGTGACAATATTGTCAGTTTTTAAGAGTTCCACTTGGTCCATGGTTAGCATGGGAGCAACTCCAAATAACTGATGAGCAAGTTCAAACACAATAGATTGAGTCTTGGCCAGCCAAAAAGGCATAGGAACCAACAGTCTTTTCAAGGGAGGATCTGAATAACGGAGCATTAGTCTCAATAATTGGCGAAATGTTTTCACGTGAGGTCCTCCTAGTTCATATACTTTGCCACCAACAACACTTTGTTTTTCATCTAAACAAACCAAAATTGCTTGTGCAACATCACTAACATATACAGGTTGAAATTGGGTTTGTCCTCCTCCTACAAGAGGTAGTACAGGTGATATTTTGGCCATACGATAGAAGCGATTGAAAAAGTCGTCTTCTGGTCCATAAACAATGGATGGCTTCAATACGGTGGATTGAGGAAACAGTGACAAGGCAGCTTTTTCTCCCAAAGCTTTGGTTCTAGCATATTCTGAAGAAGAGTCTAAAGAACTTCCTAAAGCTGATATATGCACAAACTGCTGGACACTACCACTGTTACATATGCGGGCTATGTTCTTCACACTCTCGTGGTGTATCGAGTCAAAAGAACTATTTCTAGTTGGATACAAAATGCCGACCAAGTTGACTACATGACTTGCCCCCTTAATAGCAGTTTCGACATCTTTCTGGGAGGTGATGGAACCTTGAATATATTCTATCTTTTGATTGGGGTTGACTGTTGACTCAAAATCGTCTTTCGATACTTACGTTCAAGTTTAAGTCCTCTAAGAACGAGATGTCTTTATTTTTTCTGGATAGTATTCGCACGACTGAAAAGTCCCTTTTCTCTCTATCCAAACAACGCAAAAACTCTCTTCCAATAAAACCAGTGGCTCCAAAAACTGTTACAATTCTTTGATTCATTTTACCCAAATCAAATGTGGCATACCATAATATATAGCGAGAAACAGTTGAAAATCAAAACTAACTTGTGAATATTGCTCAAGGAAGGGACCAAAAATCAACTGAAGCAAAAGCCAAGACAAGTTACCAACTAATATTCATAAGACAACAAGAACTTGAATTGTTCAACACACTTCTATCGTCAGGGAAAGTGACTAACAAGAAAACTAGTTGGATACTAACCAAGTATCACATTCTTCAACATAAAACATAGTTTGTTATTTTATAGAACAAGTTTATTGCTTCTCTCTATAAAACCACATAACACCATTGCCAGTAAACCCAGTCACGTGCCAATGTCAACGCAGACACGAGTTTTGAACGTTCAGCAATTGACAATCGAAGCAATTTGGCGTAACTTATGCAGTTCGTCAAGTTCTTGGGCGTTCCGTTGCCTGTTGCAGCAGTTTGCTTTATTGGACATTTTATTTTCTTTCATATAGGGTAATTTTTATATAGTTTGCCAATATTGTTACTTTTGGAGCTTACAAACAATAGGTGTATTCTTTTATCTCTCTGTGACCATTTTCAATTGCTGCAACGGTACAAGTTTCAAAGGTTCCAGAACGATGAATCTTATTTTGAGGTAAGAAATGCAGCAATATGAAAGCAACTTTGTTAAAGGATTTGAAATAGTTGTTACCGAGAGTATTATTTAACCAACTATTCCTCTTGTTACCGGCCATGTTGCTTTTTCAATATTTCGGACTAGGGTTTCAGACAACTGAAGCTCTTTATAGTCCCGTCGTCTATTTTGTATATTCTTTGTGGATGGCGTTGGGTCATGATATCCTTTTCTATTTGGGACATCGCTTTTTGCTGCATTCCAAGTGGGGTTTTATGCACTTGGGTCACGACTTGCACCATAGGTATGTTTGCTCCAATAGTTTAAATAGTATTCCATCAATAAGTTTTGTTTTTTCAGTACCAAGGCTACTATTGCAATATCCAGTATGTATATGGGAGTCATTGACTACATTTTAGAGATTATTGTTCCTTATTTGGTAAGCTGTTGAAGGTCGAATTTGAGGCTGTTCATTTATGGATGTGAAGGTTCCAATGCTTTTTCTTCGTAGTGATATGTTTTTTGACGCATTGGCTCCTTGTTTAGGAGCCATAGGAGGACTTTATGAACATAGTGGTTACAATTTTTTTCCCTACTTTGAAACTTTATCAACTGTACGTTTGAATTGGTTTGCATTGTTCTTCTTCCTTATCTTTCCAAGGTTGCACATACCATGCATCATGTACGTTATAATTGTAGTTATAGTGACGGTGTAGGCTCCACCAATCTGATGGACAATGCATTGCATACAGCCTATTACCATTATGGCTACAAGTAAGTGAATGGTTGGCAAAGTTGGAGTTGTCAATTCTGATTGGATATTAGGAACATTCCAAAAACGAGGCGAAATCACGTCTCGACGGAAGAGTTGGAAGATTAGGGAAAATAGGAGGTTTGTGTGGTTAGACTTTTATCCATGATTGAAGAAGTCTTTTCGATTGGATAAAGAGAGAATTGCAAATGTTCGTTTGTGATATTGTTTGTTATTATATATATATATATATATATATATATATATCACTAGTAAATTTGCACCGTTCTGCTCGTTATAAAGAATATTTTCCATACAATTTTTGAGTTTGTGGAATGGCAAGCAATCACTACAACAATAGACAGATGGAAGCATCAGTCGAAGCAATTGCTATAAAAGCACGGAAAGCTGCGTTAAGTTTCCAAGGTTGTTCGACCAAAAAGAAGAATGAAGCGTTACAAGTTATGAAAGAGAAGATTTTATCTGCGAAAGAATCAATTCTGGAAGCTAATCAAAAGGATATAGCAGCCGCACAAGAACAAAACTTGGAGACTCCCCTTTTGAAGCGTTTGGACCTATCCAGTTCAGGGAAGTTTGAAAGTCTTTTACAAGGAATTACTGCCGTTCAGAACCTGGAAGACCCTGTTGGGAAAGTAACACTGGCTACCGAACTGGACCAAGGACTTGAGTTGTACCGAGTTTCTTGTCCTTTGGGAGTTTTGTGCATCATATTTGAGTCTCGTCCGGATGCAGCCGTACAGATATCTTCGTTGGCTATCAAATCCTCTAATGCAGTCATTCTTAAAGGAGGCAAAGAAGCGGAAGGCACCAATAGAGCACTCGTTGGTTGTATTCAAGACTCCTTAAAAAGTGTCAATTTGCCTGCGGACGTGGTTCAGCTTGTATCCACAAGAGAAGAGATCAAATCACTTTTAGCTTTGGAACAGTATATTGATATGGTTATACCTCGAGGTTCCAATTCTTTGGTTCGATATATTAAAGATAATACCAAGATTCCAGTAATGGGTCACGCAGATGGTATTTGTGCAGTTTATGTGGATAAAGATGCGGATGAACGAAAGGCTATTGATATTGTTTTGGACTCCAAGACACAATACCCGGCAGTCTGTAATGCTACTGAAACATTGTTGATACATCGACAACTTCTTCCCAATATCTTTCCAAAGATTGCTAGTGTATTATTTGAACGTGGAGTACTAATGAAATGCGATGAGGAAAGCATGAAAGCGCTGCCTTACGGTATTACTGCAGAAGTAGCTCAAGAAACAGATTACATTACGGAATTTTTGAACTTTACAATAGCAATCAAGACAGTGGGCGATGTGAAGGAAGCTATTGAACATATCAACAATCATGGTTCAGGTCATACGGACTGTATTGTTACTGAAGACAAGGAAGCTAGAGACCTTTTCTTTGCTTTAGTAGATTCAGCAGTAAGTTGTATGTCATATTGTTCTTGTTTGCTTTCTCATCCTTGCTAGGGTGTTTATCACAATGCCTCGACAAGGTTTGCAGATGGTTTTCGTTATGGATTCGGTGCTGAAGTTGGAGTCTCAACCAATAAAATTCATGCTCGTGGTCCTGTTGGTTTGGAAGGTACATTCTCTCAGCATAAATGTTTTTCTTCCTCTCACTAATATATAGGTTTATTGATATACAAGTATCGTCTATATGGCAATGGACACACAGTTGGTCCATATGCTAAAGGTGAAAAGCAACTGATGCATAAGACTATTGTGCCAGAATATCGTCCAAACTGGGAAAAGACTCGAAATGATGAATAAAAAATGACACTGCAAACAAACATTCTATGCAAACTTTATTCCTATCAAGTATTGCTGTCTTGGACAACTTCCACTACGGGAGTTTCTGAACTCGTATGATTGTGGTTCTGGTCGTTAGAATGACCGTTTTCAGAAAAGGCTAAGTTCATCATTTTGCTTACTCTCTTGGCAAAAGAAGAAGGTTCTTCAATGGAATATCCACAAGTCAATAATGCGGTTTCGTACAAAAGCATTCCCAAGTCACGAGTATTTGATGATTCAGGATTCTGCTTGACTTGATCTAGTAAGGAACGAATGACAGAATGTTTAGGATTGAGTTCCAACACTGGCGCTTCCATAAAAGCACTCATTCGATCCGAGTCCCCTTTTTGAACACGTAAGAAACGTTGCATAGTAGGAGAAACACCCATTTTGCTTTGAACAACTGCACATGGCGAATCTGTCAACAATGAAGAACTAACAACTCTGCTCACGCGCTTTCCTAAAAGTTCCGACATCCATTTTGTTAAAGGTTCCAACTCTTTAGAAGTTTCTTCATTGGGTTTCTCTTCATTCAACTCGGGTAAATCCACAGTCTCTCCTTCCTTACCAACATTTATCAAACGATAATCTTCTTCAACTTGTTTCTTTTCTCCATTTTCTTCCTTTTCACGTTTTCCTTTAAAAGATGGAATATTGTTGACCATAAATTCATCAACAGGTTCCGATAGAAACAGAACCTCATAATCCAAGCTTTTTAGCTTTTCTATAATAGGCAATGAACGAGCTGCTGCAATACTTTCTGCTGTAACATAAAATATTTGTCTTTGGCTTGGCTTCATTCGAGACACATAGGCATCCAAAGATGTCATCTTGTCACCAGATTTGGAAGAAAAGAAGCGACAAAGTCCAATAAGCTCATCACGAATACTCCTTTCATCTTCTTCAATGATTCCCACTTTGATATATTTACCAAAATGGGTCCAAAAGGTTTCATAATCATCATTATCGCGTTTGGAAAGTTCATCAAACATATCTACGGACTTTCGTACCAATTTTTTTCGAATAATTCGTGCCACTCTACTCTGTTGAAGAATTTCTCGGCTAACATTCAGCGGAAGATCTTCAGAATCAACTACACCGCGAATGAAGGTAAGCCAACGAGGGAATAGATCGGTAAAACTATCCGAAATGAATACTCGTCTTACATAAAGTCGTATACTCTTGGATTGATCACTAAACATATCCTGAGATAACTCAAAAGGCAAACTTTTTGGAATAAAAATAACGGAACGAAACTCAACTTCTCCTTCTGCAGAAAAATGAGAATATGTCAATGGTTCTTCATACGCATGAGCGATAGACTTGTAAAATTCCTCATAGTCTTCCTTAGAAACTTCACTAGGCTTTCTCATCCAAATTGGCTTATTCTTATTCACCAACTCCCAGTCCCATACGGTCTTAGGAACACGTCGTTTTTCTGGTTTTTGTTCAGAGTCTGTTTGTTGTTGTTCTGTGGATTCTTCTGATGTCTCTTCTGCTTGTTCAAATTCCGTTCTACTCTTCCATAAATAAATAGGAAAACTTATGTATTCGGAATACTTTTTCAGCAACTGCTCCAAACGAAAGGGTTCCAAAAACTCCTCAGAATCGTCTCTCAAGTGCAGAACAATCTGAGTACCACAACTTTCTAAAGGCTCCGAAGCTTCAGAAACAGTGTAGTTTTTTGCAGAGTGAGACTCCCAACGATAGGTCTTCTCTGATTGCAAGCTTCGAGTAGTAACTTCAACTCTTTCAGCTACCAGAAAGGCTGAATAAAAGCCTACACCGAATTTCCCAATCAGCGATACATCAGCTTTTCCTTGACCCAAGGCTTCAACGAACTTGCTAGTTCCAGATTCCGCAATCTTTCCCAAGTTACTTATTAGCTCTTGTTCAGTCATACCAACGCCCGTATCTGTAATAGTCAATGTCTTCTTATCCTTATCTGCTCTGACTCTAATTTCAAGATTCTCTGCCGAAGAACCTCCAGAAACTGATAAGAAACGTCTTTTGTCACAAGCGTCCGAAGAGTTGGATACCAGTTCTCTCAAGAAAATCTCCTTATGAGAATATAACGAGTGTATAATAATATCCATAACTCTGGAAACTTCTGCTTGAAACTCAAAGGTTTTCCCTTTGGTTTCTGAAACAGTATCTTCAGTAGTTGTTGACATGGTCAAGTAAGATCGACGTCGTCCCTGGTTTGGGACAAACGGTTTTTGACCGAGGAAACAAGAATTGTGGCAGCGGCTACAAGCGAAAGGATTCCTTTTACTAACATTGGTTTGTGAGTGAATAATATGGGTACTTTTGGTGTTGTACTTTGTGGAAGAAAACCCAACAAAAGCCATTAAGCCCAAATCGATAAGCTCTTCTCTCGCAGTGAATGACGAGCGGTACAAAATCTTTTCTTAAATTGCTCTTCTAGAAACGTCACTGACAAGCTGATCATCATTTGCTATAGGATAACTTTGGTATTCACCAGGAAATGGTTTCAACAAAGTCTTGCCTTCTTTTTGTTTTGGACTAGGAATCAATGTATTCTTTAGACTAGAGGAATTTTCTTTCACGAGTGAAACTATAAATAGTAACTCTATAGCTCTTGTTTGGGTGATAGGAAATAGGGAGAATAATAATTTGAACTCAATTATATCCTCTTTGGCCATGAAAACTAGTTCCAATCACAAAAAAGAAATTAATTTTTGCCTTTAAGAAGACAAAACTTAGTCTTTCATAATAGATCAATTGACTCCAAAGAGGTTTTATCGACATTTGAAAATGATATTCTGTTGATTGGAGGAGAATCTTTCCATGACGAATCAACAGAATAAAAGAGTCATACAAGCATTCAACTACGCAGGTTTAGGCTTTTGTAGACCGAAAACATACAATGATGAACTTTTAAAAGGTAACAAAGGTAGCTTGGAGAGTTTAAAGTTTTGGCAGCTCGTCCATGAAGCACGTCGTCGGCAGCTTAAACGTGGAAGGTTATTCTTCATCGTACAGGCAACTTCCAAAGAAGACAAAAGTCATAGTCCAAAGCAGCCTCCCTCGAATACATCGTTACCGAAATCTAAACAGGAAGCTGATCAACCATCGTTTGGGAGTTCACCAGGAGACTTTGGTAACGGAAATGGTGGAAGAAATCAGGATAGTTTTGGAGGTCACGAAGAAGACAATCCCGAAAACCAAAACTCGCCTATTTCATTCTTTTGCGAGGCATCAGAAAAGAATATTGATTCTGATTTGAAGGGAGTTTTGAGGGCCTATAAAACAAGTTTCGATTCTTTGCCCGATGATGTGAAGAGAGCCATTCAAACAGGAGTTATTTCTCGATCGACTTTATCTTATTTTTTATTGCAACTTCGAAATCCGTTTCTAGGATGGGCACTTCGCCTGTTTCGTTCCTTCCGCAACCGCGTCTTGGCTGATAAGGACTTCCTATACAAGGTCATGGTTCAAGAGATTGTTGGTAATGGTACTGCTCTTATTGGAGAAGTTATGGTTCGTAAGAAAGAAATATTGGATGAAATGGAATATGTCTTATCGGATATGATTATTGGACTTGTAGTAGAAGCCACTTTTGTATGGCTGTTGGCTCCTGCCAATCCATTTCCTACTTTACAAACAACTCGAAATGGTCATTTTCTAGTCAACATAATATCCCAACTACCAGCCAATATGTTTGAAGCAGCCAGTCCAAATAGACCTTATAACATATTTCAACGTGGCTTGTCTTTTTTATGGTCTGGAATACAATATTCTGTAATTGGTATTGGTGCAGGCTTAGTAGGAACTGTTCTTACCTATGGAATGCTTCAAATACGAAAGCAGTTTCAACCTCATTATCAAATAAGAAGAAGATTGCCTCCGATTATTGCTAATAGTCTTGGATGGGGTGCTTATATGTTTCTTTCTGCTAATCCTCGTTTCCAAATGGTCGAAGGTTTGGAGAGATTGTGTGGAATATTATTTGTTCAGAGACTTGATTGGTTGTTGAAGTTTTGTATATTCTTTCTTCGTTTCGGTAATAATCTTTATGGTGGAATTCAGTTTGTACAATTCTTTCGAGCACTTGGATTGCAATCAACAGAAGACTTGCAGCCATGAAAATAGAAAATATTTTAGTTTTGTTTTCCTACCTCCGAAATATTATTTCTCTTTCTTTTTATACAACTCAAACATTGAAACGAAAATGAACAATATCTCCTTCTTCTACAATATACTCTTTTCCCTCGCTTCTTATTAATCCTTGTTCTCTAGCTTTCTTCTCGGAACCAACTGCAACCATTTGGTCATATGAAATAGTCTCTGCCCTAATAAAACCACGTTCAAAATCTGAATGGATAAGACCTGCAGCTTGAGGTGCTTTAGTTCCTTTCTTAATGGTCCAAGCTCTAGTTTCTTTTGGTCCACTAGTGAAGTAAGTCTCCAATCCCAATAATGTGTACATTTCACGAACTAGAAGACACAAACCAATTCTCTCTCTTTGTACTCCCAATATACGTAAATATTCAACCTTTTCTTGTTCAGACAACGAAGCCAATTCTGATTCTACTTGAGCAGAAACTACAACGGCAGATGCATTTTCTTCTCTTGCTCTTCGAAATACAAGTTGCGTAAAAGGATTTCCTGTTGCTAAGCTTTCTTCGGAGACATTGGCAGCATACAAAACAGGCTTCAGTGTCAATAATTGTAATGGTACAAGGAATGCCTTTTCTTGACTAGTGAAGTTTACATTTCTCAATAGGCATCCAGTGTCCAAAGCTGCTTTGGCCCTTTCTAGTGCTTCCACTTCCAATGTTGTTTTAGAATCTGCTCTGTTTCTCTTCATTCGTTCCAACTTTTTCTCAATTTGCGCAAAGTCAGCAAGAGAAAGTTCCGTGTTGATAATATCTACGTCTCTTAGAGGATCTACTGAGCCTATTACGTGTACAATATCTTCACTTTCAAAGCAGCGAACTACGTGTAAGATAGCATCACACTCTCTAACATTCGCCAAGAAACGGTTGCCCAATCCTTCTCCTTTACTTGCACCTGCAACTAGCCCTGCAATATCTATAAACTCTAAAAAGGTAGGAATGACCTTTTCTGAGTGGTTCAACTTTTGCAAAACTTCAAGACGTGGATCTGGTACTGGAACAATACCCACGTTAGGCTCTATTGTACAAAATGGAAAGTTGGCACATTGAGCAACAGAATTTTGTAACAGAGCATTGAATAAAGTAGACTTTCCTACGTTGGGGAGACCAACTATTCCACTCTTCAAAGTCATAGAGATAAGTGAACTTGTATGTAAACGACGTCGCTTGGAGGAATAATAAAAATAAGCCGATTGAGAAAAAGCATTGCCGAGGCTAATATTTTTATGAATATAAACTCTAAGACAGCAACTTGATAAGAAGAATACAGGAACCGGTGAGCGCATTGAAAGAACGATGATCATTTCGACTCATTGTTAGAGCCGAGCAATGCCTACTTTCATAACCAAGTTTGTTGCACGCTCAAGTGGTTTGTTATTTCTGTTATGGATGACTTTTTGTGTTATTCTCGTGTGTGATGTTCTATTACCCATTTTGTTGTTGATTTGCTGGCTTTGTCGTGCAAAATATATTACTCGTCGACTTCAGTCGTTTGTTCTTCGCATATGGATGTCTCATTTTATATTTTATGTAGAACGACTAGCAGGGGTAGAATTGGTTATTACAGGGGATAAGTTTGTTAGAGGAGAAAGTGCAGTTGTAGTTTGTAATCATCAAAGTTGGACAGACTCCTTAATTCTTTATTCAGTTGCTCGTCAAGTTGGAAGACATGGAGACGTCAAGTTCTTTGCCAAAAAGTCGCTAGCTTATTTTCCATTTTATGGAATAGCTGCAGTTTTAGTGAGAGTTTGTATATTTATTACTCGGCATATGGACAGAGATCGTAAGATTTTCCGCCGCATATTTTCCTATTTAACGGATGCTTCTGGACAATGGCCTTTTTGGCTGATTATATTTTGTGAAGGAACAAGATTTAATCTGAACAAAAGAGAAAAGTCCCAAGAGTTTGCCAAGAAACATGATCTTCCTGTTTTGTACAATGTATTGTTGCCAAAAACTGGAGGATTTAGTGCGAGCGTTTCATCTTTAAGAGACAATATTGGAGCTTGTTATGACATTACTATCGGTTATCCTTCCTTACAAGGACAAGTGGGTCCTTCTATTTCGGATATTTTATTTCGACATCAGTTTGGTAGACAAAAGTGGGTAGTTCATGTTCATCAAAAAAGAGTACCTATCCAACTTATTGGCGACAGTGAAGAAGAAATGAAAGAATTGCTTTATAGAGTCTATAAAGAGAAGGACAAACAAATGGAAAACTTTAAAACTAATGGAAATTTTGATGGAACGAACATTCCTTTCCACAAATTATCTGTGATGGATCTATTTTTTTGTTTTGTTTGTTTCTTTGGATTGTCCCTTTTGGTTTTGGTCGGGCTAATTTGGTTATTCCAGTTGATTCGTTTTTCTAATTGAATATGGGTAAAGTGGTGTAGAGATTGTGCTTAATAAGTCTGTGTAAAAGGGACACTGAGTTTTCTCTATACAACGCATTTTTGGCAAAATACTCAAATGATAACGAGTTTAATGTATTCTTATGAAATGAATAAAGAATATTCGATTGATGCCTTTATATATATCAATCGTTTTCTGAAAAGAAAGTGGCTCATCTCACATGATTGGAATCTGAAAATGTTCAGAAATGATGACTCGACGGCGTTATTCACTTGTGATTGGTGTGGCAAGAGTTATCGAACTCGTTCGAAAAGGATTGCACATATAAGAACACATACAGGAGAACGACCTTATATTTGTAGTTATCCTTGTTGTGGAAGATCATACACACGTTCAGATCATCTTCGTCGGCACGAGTGGAGTCATCAGGAGTTGAAGCCTTTTACTTGTTCACGAATCAATTGTGCCCAATCGTTTGCTACTAAACAACGTTTACAGAGACATGAAAGGTCACATAGTGCCAAAATGGCGTTTACTTGCACCTTTCCCTGTTGTGGAAGAGCTTTTCGAAAGAAGAGACAGTTAGCAGAACACTGCCTTTCTCATTCATCAATATATTCTACTTGTAACTATGAAGATATTGAGAACAAATATGAAGGAAGTGTAAACTCGATTGATGTGGGCAATAACTCATCGTTACTATTTCAAGTTCCTGAAGAGTGGACTTGCTTACCTTACTTTTGTTCTGTACCAGATTGCAACAAAGGTTTTAGAAGCTATGCTGAATTGTCTGCACATTGTCAAGAAGCACATGACAAGGTTGTGTTTTCTTGTAATTACTGTGACAAAACTTTTTCGAAATATTCTTCTTGGCTTCGACATCTCAGTACCCATGAAGAGTCTGTCCAAGTTCGACAAGTTTTTCCTTGTCATTTTCCTAGTTGCTCAAAAAAGTTTACTTCATCATACAATTGTATGGTTCATGAGAGAGCAGTACATGAAAAGCAATATCTCTTTGAGTGTTCCTTTTGTGAGAGACGATTCACTTTAGAGTCATCTCTTCAAAGACATGTTCGAAAACTTCATAATGATGATAAGGATAGAGAAGCTAACAAGGAGCAAAAGAACTCCGTGATAGAGTCACGATGGGAACCCTCCGTCGAAAGAGAAATGACCTATTCCCATGTTTTGAAAGCGTTATGTGGAAAATCATAATATTTCATTTATTCACCCAAACCATTGATTATTCTTTAAGAATCTTCAAAGGAATCCACCTAGTTTTACTGTGTTGTTGTATCTTCCAAAGGTACTTTTATGTATTCTTTACCCTCGAGGATGTTTGTACTATAACAAGAAACTTCTTTCCATTGTGATATAGTTCCTGCCAAATCTTCATCCAAATAGAAACTGTATAAATAACATAATAGAATATTTTTCTTAGAAACTCTTTGCTTACCAGCTAATATTGTTTCATACTTTTCAAACGTTTGTATTCTCAACTTGAGTTGTTCCCATATTTCTCGGGTATGGTCTCGAACCTTTATAAGAGTTTGCAACTCCTTCTCCTTGTGTTGCACCAAGTCTTCTGTCGAAAATGAGTCGCTTCCTTCCGTTGGATTATTTTCTATCATATTTCAAGTTTATTCAATACACTTGGAAAAAGCCCACCACCACTTGAAACTCCAATGGATATTTGAAATGATATGCCGATTTTGGAATCTTCCACGATTCCTTGGCTACTTACTTTCAATACCATGACTTTGTTCTGGATAATGAAAAAGAGATGAGATACAAGTTTCTTGTCTATACAGTATGCCATCAAAGTTATATACTGTTCTGAAAGTAGAAAAGTCATAATACTTGTCAACAAAAGAATACTTATACAAAGGGACCTTTTTTCTTATTTGTCTTCACTGGAACTATTCGAGAATCTCTCGAAAAAGCTGTGAAATTCTCTACATCTAATTTCAAGCTCATCTTCTTCTTATATTTTGCAGTTTGGTGAGCATCCTCATCCTTCTCTTCCTCTTCTTTTGTAACCTTTTCTTCCTCATCCACTTTTGAAGTTTCCATGGGATCATTCTGTTCTCTCGTATTCTCTTCAACATGAAGACCATCTTGGATATGTGGACTAACAGGAGAAAATTCTCGATTAGCATCCAACGGCATTCGACGACTATTCTTAACAGTTGTATGTTCACCAGAAATACGCAACCAATCGTCTGATTTTGTGTCATAAAAATCATCATCATCAAGGACTTGAGAACACGAACGAATGCGGCTCATTGTCATATTCTCTTCCTGTATACTTTCGTTATGTTGTACAAAGGACTCTGGAAATGATTTACTTCTTCTACGTGACTCAATATCAGTAGAAATTCTAGGTTTCCTAAAAGGCGAAACAGGAGTATATGATTTATGCTCTTTAGATACACGAAAAGAAAGGCTTTGTCCATATCCTGCCATATCTGTAGATTCCATTCCGTCCTGAGTATGTCGATGGACATTCTGGAAACGACCAGAGTCACCTATATCTCCCGAAGGAGATATTATTGCAGTAGCTGCAGCAGCATATTCATGAACTGCTCTTCTCGTAGACGTGATAAATCTATTTATCAAACGTGCTCGTAAACTTGGCTTTCGTTTGGAGTTTCTTCCTACGTTTTCCAAGTTTTGCTTGGGAGATTGAGGTACAAGCTGTTTTCGTCTTTGGTGTGCCCATAAGGGAAAACTACTTTTGCAATCCTTTTTCTTCAACGACACATTCTCATTAAATAGGCTTGTTCCAGGAGGTCTTGGAGAATCTGGATAACCATGTAAGCCAGTGAACCACTTCGTGTTGCTTTGTGGTCGTAAAGTCTTGTCTGAAAGTTTTTGAAACGTGTTGCTTTCATCCAATTCCGATTGTTTTCGAGTTTGTCTCTTTGAGGAACTCCAAGTACCTTGGTTGTACTCCAAGTTGTTGTGTTCTTCTTCCCAGCAATCTTTTTCCCTTTCTTCAGTAGAAGGAAGAGTCAAACCTGAAAACTCGGAGGATAGGTCTTCCCCATCTGTTATAAGAGGTGTCAACTGAAAACAGCGCTTCTCTTTCAAGGACATATTCTAGTTTGTCGTGTAGAGAAGAATGGTCAAGTTGAGAATCATTATTTATGGATGATGTAAAATATTTGGTGATTGGACAACCCATTCATTCACAATGTGGTGTCGACTGTTCCACATGAGATATTTCAATAACGATGGGATTTGTACAGAATAAGTATTCAATCTCTCTACCTTCTTACTTTGTGACAAAAACTATTCATAACAACTCGACTTTTTGGGTTGACAGAGGATCATAACCTTCCAATGTCCAATGTACCAAAAATGGGCATAAAAAACTTCTTAACAGTTATTTGAATCATTTGATTAGCCAAACATCGCTCTTTTCGTATTTTGGATCCCGTTTGATGAACACTCAAGAAGAAAGCAGTCATAATAATATCATATCTATACTCCCTTCTGGAGAGGAAAAGCCGGGATCATCTTCTGTTTTTCGACAGCTTGGAAAAAGTGAAGCTGTCCTGTCTTGTCTTTGTTATGGTTTAAGTTCTATGTCTGTAACTCTTATGAACAAACTCATATTTTCTGGGGAGGGAAGACAGTTTCCTATATCTTGTATAGTAGTCCAAAACGCTATATCGACTCTCTTTTTGGCCTTATGTACCTTATTAGGACTATTAAGTAGCTCGAAACTCAGCTTACAACTTCTCCGTCGGCTATTCGTTCCTCAACTCTTTTCTTCCTTGTATTTGTATTCTAATGCGAAGGCTTTTGAATATCTAACTATTCCTGTAGTAACTTCGCTTAAAGCACTAGTTCCTATTTGCACAAAACTTCTCGAGAGATTCCTATTTGGAGACGTTGTTTCCACTTTGGAGTATTTTAGTATGATTCTTATATTCCTTAGTAGTGCAGTGACAGCTCATTTCGATGTTAGTTCTACACAAGGTTATTTTTGGACCGGAGTGAGTATAGTATCCAATGTTCTTTGGTTAGCTTCTTTGAGATTCTTTATTGGAAAGACTCGATATTCCAATATTGCCAAGGCAATGAACGGCAATCTTCTCTCCTTTATTGTATTAACTCCCTTCGCATGGATACAAAAGGAACCACAACAAATATATTATGATTGGTCCCAGCTCTCTTCTGTATTTAAAGCTTCCTTTACTTTTTCAGGCGTTGCAGTTACAGTGATTCAAATATCAGTCTTTTGGGTGAATGCAACTACAAGTGGAGCAACATTTAGTTTTGTTGGAAATTTTATCAAAGTTCCAACCATTATTATCGGAACTATTTTCTTTCATGAAAAGCTTCCCTTTATGGCATGGGTTGGTGTTATTATGGGCATCTTATCTGGCTTCCTATTTAGTTTATCCAAGTATCTACAAGTACCCATACTCATGCGCACATCTTCCAGTAACTTCAACTTGGATAGCCATTCACCCGGCTCATCCCTAACCAAAACGGAGAGAAGCAATTGAAAAGTCAAATCATCTTTGAAGAGCAGACTGAAAACTTGTTCTCGTCAACTCATCATGACACTCTTACAGTTGGAGATCTTCTCTTCTTCCAAGACTCTAAATAGATACGAAAATCTCGAAATGCTTACTCACAAAATGATTTTGTTACTGAGTTGCATTATAACGTACTCCACTCTTCAATTTTTTAAGTTTACAAACAAAAAATCCGTCCATATTATGTATATGTGGAAAGAATCGTCGAGCTTCTTGAAGAGAAGGATGAAATTGTTTTCCTCGATATTTCGTAAAGCCAGGAATTCCAAAAGGGATACCACTTGAGACTACCTTCACAAAACGATGCTTTAAACAATAGTCAATCACTGCCTCATTCTCTTCAACCAACACGGAACAAGTCGAGTATACAATGATGCCTAGTAATGATATTCATATTTGGAAACCATATGGCATATCAAAAAAAAAAACTTACCTCCAGTTGCTGAATGAGCGTTGCAACAATCCACTGCAGCAAGTAAAAGTTGTTTTTGTATCACTGAATTCCTTTGAATATCTGGTCTATCTCTACTAGTCTTTACGGAAGGATCATGAGAAATAATGCCAGTACCAGAACAAGGTGCATCCAATAAAACGCGATCCAAATCTCGTAATATGGAAACAAGTTTTCTACCGTCATAACAAGAGACGATTGTGTTTTCAACTCCTAAACGATGGATATTAGCAACCAAAGACTTTATACGGTCAGCATTAGAATCGTTTGCATATACAATTCCTGTATTGCGCATTAAAGCTGAAACAAAAGTCGTCTTTCCACCAGGAGAAGCTGCCATATCCAGAATCTTTTCTTTTTCTTGAGGAGACAAAGCCAATACTGGAATAAAGGAAGAAGATGCTTGAATCATATAATATCCAGCTAAATATTCAGGTGTTGCTCCTATGGGAACTCTACTTTCATATACCACCAGGCCTTCTTTGCTCCAATTCTCCAAAGGATCGACATTTACTCCTCGTGAAATAAGTGCTTGAGCCAACTGTCTTCTTTTGGTTTTCAAAGTATTCGTTCTTATAACAAGAGGACGAGGTTTGTCACTGGCTTCAATAAATTCCATACATTCCAAAGGTGAAAACATATCAAAAAATTCTTCTATAAGAAATGCATTATAGCCATAGACATAACCAATATCAGTCTTTAATAAAGAAAGATACTCCGACCTCGAGTGAAGTCCATCTTTTCGACTCTTAAAGTCTGATAGGATTTGTACAACCAGAGCTATCCGTGACTTTCTGTCGGCAATCGAACGCTGTATATCGTTGTCAAAAAGAGTCGCCACTTGTTCGGCATCCACGATATTGTCTACAGTATTAGACAAAAATTCTGCTTTCGAATCCTCTTCTTCAAGTCGTTTTTCATCTTCCAAAAGTCTATTTTCTCTCTCAATATCAAGTTCTTCTGTACCACTATCTTCCATTGATCCATCCTCGAACAAGTTCTTTTTGGTCTCTTCATCAGAGAAACTGGTCTCTCCAATATTCCCTGATAAAGAAGATTCTTGGGAAGCACTATCTTCTTGTTCCACCACAAAGTTCTCTGTATCTGAGTTTGTGTCACTGGTGACTTCAAACGGCGATTCAAGCGACTCATAATATTTTTCTTTATCCCTTGACAATTCTTTGGTACTTGCCAGATTCTGTTGGTCTGCGTTGTCTTTCTTTGCTTGTTTCAGTTTCTTATTATACTCTCGTGGGGTTTCAAAAGTCGGCTTGTTCTTCTTCTTCTTCTGTCTTTTCCTAAAGGGAACATCTGGTTGTAACGCATCCTCTTCAGATAATTTCAGTTTTTTATTTACTATTCTTACGCTCTCTTGTACTCCAGTACCAAACTTTCTGATACGTTTGGCTCGTCTTGCTCGTCCTGTTCCTCCCATCGAGTGTCAATTGAGAGAGAGAGAATTAAGTAGATCGACGTTGTTCTGCCTTTTACAATATTAGGAAATTTTATAGTTTCATGATATCGATAGTTACTTGGTCTTTAAAAGAAATCAATGACTAGAAAGATAGACCTTTCATGAGCCTTTGGCAAACCTTGATAAGTAAAAACATTATATAAAAAAATATATGAGATGAATATATTGAATATTGAAATTCCAACCTCACATTTGGACTTTATCTGTTGATAGATTTTGTGGAAATACAAGACTTATGTTGGACCCCAACAGTGCAAGAAGCTTAAAAGTTCCTACTTCCACAGAGCCTTGTGCTATCGATCATGAAAATAAGGCTGTACAATGGCTGTGGAAACTTTATGCAGAATTGTGGGATGAACAGATGCGCAACGACCCTCTTTCAGCAACTATGATAGGTATATGCAAGCAATCTTCTTTGCCAAAACGAAACAACTCAATTGAAAACAAAGGAGACTATCGCTGGAATTCATATTTGAAGGATCTAAGTTTTGAAGCTCGCGAGGAACACTACGAGTCGTTAAAACGGTTGAACACGCAGCTGACACAATCGAACCTTGCTAGCTTACTTCCTGAAACGGAAGTGGATAATTATGAATTTTTGAGTGAAATGTTGAGAGTATCTATTCTGAGCTTGGAAACCTTTGATAGATACGAAATTCCAACTACACATATCTTTGGTCCACCTGTTATGCTACCCTTGGCTGGTAATTTCCATCCTTGGAATAGCAAAGAAGACATAGAAAGCTTTTTGGCTCGACTAGAAGCGTTTCCAAAGCAAGTGACCCAAATAATTGAAGCATTTCGTTATGGTATTCGAACAGGTTATACGTTGCCTATCGAATCAGTACAGGCTCTTATTTCGATATGTAAGGCACAAGGAGAAAAAGATGCAGTAAACTCGCCATTTTTTGAATCAGCAGCAGCTCCATTTGAAAAATGGGTTGGAAGTACGGAAGCTTTGCAGCACGTCATTGAGAAGAGTGTTCTTCCTGCTTATAAATTGTTGGCAGACTTTTTACAAGATGAATATGAACCCAATGCAAGACAAACTGCTGGCATCGTCCATTGGAAAGATTCCAAATCGATCTATCAAGGAGCCATAGAGTACTATACGTCGTCAGCTTATACAGCGGAAGAATTGCACGCAATTGGTAAGAAAGAGGTCGAAAGAATATCCGAAGAAATCAATCTCGTTCGAACTCGTTTACAACAAACGGATGGTTCACTTGCCTCGTTTATTAATCAGCTTCGACAAAACCCACAACTGTTTGCAAAGGATGCAGAAAGTATCATTCAGTTATACAAGGACATTTTAGGAAAAATCCGCTACAAAGTTTCGGACTATTTTGTAAATCTTCCAAAAGCAGAATTGGTGGTCAAACCCATTGAGTCATATCGAGAAAAGTCGGCTCCACCAGCTCATTATTATCCTGCACCAAAAGACCGTTCAAGACCTGCAGTATTTTATGGAAATACATCGGAACCTACGACAAGACCGCTCTATGCAATGAAAGCAGTGGCATTGCATGAGGGTATTCCTGGTCATCACTTACAAATTGCTATTGCACAAGAGTTGGATCATCTACCAAGAATTCGTAAGGAAGTTCAAGGATTTTGTATTGGCTATGTAGAAGGTTGGGGACTTTACGCGGAATATTTAGGAAATGTCATGAATATATATGAGGATGATTACGATTTATTGGGAAGACTATTGGCAGAAATTTGGAGAGCTTGTAGACTCGTTGTAGATACTGGACTTCATGCACTTGGATGGACAAGAGAAGATTCGGTACAATATATGCGCGAAAATGCTGGTATTACGGAAGTAGATATTCAAGTAGAAATTGACAGATATATGGTTATGCCAGGCCAAGCATTGGCATATAAAGTTGGAGAAATGAAAATTATTCAATTGTTACAAGTTTCTCAAGAGCAATTGAAAGATAAGTTTTCATGGCCATTATTTCATGATTGCGTGCTTCGTTCAGGAGCTGTTCCATTGTCCATGTTGGAAAGAAATGTTGAGAATTTTTTATCCAGACAAAGATGATTTGAAAACAAGAATTGTATCATTTGTGCTTATTTTTAATAGCTAGGCTTGTCCTGTTCTCAATGTCGTTTCAAGTATGTTGACTATATGACTTGGAATGTTTCAAAGTTCATGATTGGTAAAAGAATAAGACTTTGACACTTTCATTTTTCTGCAAAGTCTATTGAATGGAGAGTAATTTATTCTAGATATTTGTCATCAACCAAAATAAGGCATACACAGCATTTCATTGTTGTTACTTGAAAACAATGATTAGTCCTCGTAATATCAATAGCCCTTTGTTTATTACTATTCAACCACTTCTATAGCCACTTTGCTATGGAATCTTGAAACATTGGTCATTCACAACCATTCGAGATTATCATTTAGAAAGACTGATGATATACACATCCGTTCAATTCCACTTGGATAACTATTGTATCCAATTTCTAGTGAACTATTTCAAAAGTTGCTTGAGAATGTAACCATGACAATTATGCGTTATAGAGTTTACAAATATTCATACTAAAGTCATTTGGGCTTCCTGTCCAGTCATTTATTCTTGTCTACAAGACAACGCTCCACCAATGGATGTATAAAGTCTTGTAAAGTATTCATGACAGGCCTGGACGATCCAAAAAGAACTAATAGAACTTTAAATCTAAGAACCCATACAGGAATAGCTTTAACGCAAATTCGGAAATATTCTTCTGAAGGGCAACAAAATGAGAAGCAACCTTCAAAGGTTCCACTCTTCTTTGTAGTAGTTAAAAAGCAAGCTACACGAGACGAGCTTAAAGAGATTCTACGCGGAATAGACTAACTACGTCAGAGGCAAAGAAATTTTTTTCTCTTCATTATACAAGACTCAGAAATCTTCCACTTCTATGACAGTGGCAAGACCTTTGGTTTCCAATGTTTTCTTGACAGCCTTTTCAGGAGGAGTACACAAGTATATATCTATGTCGCAAGTTGGGTTAGCTTTCACTGGACAACAACCAAAAGACTTACTGTCTACTTTCATTTCATCTGGTTTCTTTTCTTTGCCCTTTTCTACATTTGTTGCTAACTGAGGATAAGGTACAATGGCTCCAGAAACCTTTGCAACTCGAACTCTTGTCCCATCTTCCAAATAACGATAAACAACATCGGTTGGCTTCCTAAGTGGTTCAAGTGAGAGTAGTTAAAACAGTGTCTCTGAGTCCACATACCCTGTTTCTGGACAAACCAAAGACACTCTGGAAGCTTTCAAAGGATGTTCTGTTTTCACTTCCTCTGTTTCGTTACCATTGTCTTTCAACCTCAATACTGTTTGAACGTTGGTGTCTTCAATCACGAGATCATTGGATTCAGGAAGTGACAACAAAACACGAGACCGTTTACCCTTCTCAGGACCATTTAAAACTTCCACTGTATCACCGGGTAAAAAGTTCCAAGGCTCCAAACGGTGCTTAACCTTTTTGGCAAAGCGTATCTCCGTCACGCAAGAATCGATAGGGTCGCTAATCTCTTTCGACAACTTTCCTCGGAGAACTCGTTTTCGCGGTAAGTTCCTACTAACTCTAGCCATTCTTGCAGTGAACAACAACAGGGCAGACTGATGGACCATGACTACTCCAACTATGCCAAAAATATTTCAGTCCCAAGAAAAACAATTCTTAAAAGGAATCATCGAGAGGATTTGTCATTTCTTTTTCTGTTGCAAGTGCCATGAAAATGGATTACTTTATAAAGTACAGAATGGCATTCTCCTTTATAGAAAAAACACAAAAACTGCAAACACAAAAAACAGACACACAAGTACAAATGCTATTCAAACATTCCAAGGCGTTCGAAACTGCATACCCGCATAAACAGCATTACTTCCCAATTCTTCTTCAATACGCAGCAACTGATTATACTTTGCAAGACGTTCTGAACGACATGGAGCTCCAGACTTTATCTAAGAAATACAATCATAATATATGAAATCGAACTTGTAAATATAGCAAAAAATACCTGTCCAGTTCCCAAACCAACGACTAAATCTGCAATAAAGGAATCTTCTGTTTCGCCAGATCGATGAGAAACCATAACTCCCCATTTGGCTGCTCGACTCATGTCATTTGCTTCAATAGACTCGGTTAAGGTACCAATCTGATTCAATTTCAATAAAAGAGCATTACAAGCACCACTTTCAATGGCTTTCTTTATTCGAGTCGGATTCGTCACTAACAAGTCATCACCAACAATTTGATAGTTCTTTCCCAATGCCTTTGTCATCTTTGCAAAACCGTCAAAGTCTTCTTCATGAAAAGGATCCTCGAAGGAAACTATGGGAAACTTCTTTGCCAAGTCTTCATAAATATCCAATAATTGCTCAGAAGACTTGAGATAAGAATCCGAATGTGCTGGATTCTTAAAGTCCAAATCATAACTGGACTTGTCAGATTTCCAAAACTCAGATGCAGCAGAATCTAAACCAATCTTAACCTTTCCAGTATGTCCTGCCTTTTCAATGGCGTCTACCAACAACTGAACTCCTTCCTCCAAATCCTAAATAATATTCGTTCATATTGTATATATATGAAATAATGATATGATGCCTTACCTGGATATTGGGTGCAAAACCACCTTCATCTCCTACTGAAGTAGCATCCAAACCATATTTTGCTTTGATGACTTGTTTCAAGTTTTGATAAACCTCAGCTCCCATTCGCAATGCTTCTCGGAATGAAGGAGCTCCTACAGGAAGTATCATAAATTCCTAAAAGTATGCAAACTGTTGAAACGATTATAGAATTGGGAAGAAACTTTAAACAATACCTGAAAGGCCAACTTGTTTCCAGCGTGAGATCCTCCGTTGATCACGTTGAAAGCAGGAACAGGTAAGAGTATCTATATCTCGTTAATAACTACAAGAAACATGGAACGTGTCATAGCCATACTTTTGGTTTACCAGCAAGATCATTAATATGTTGATATAAAGAAACTCCTCGAGCAATTGCACCGGCACGACAAACGGCCATGGAAACTCCTAAAATAGCATTGGCCCCGAGTCTACTCTTGTTCTAGTAGCTTTTGTCATTAACGCCGTCACTTTCAAAAATAACAAGCAGACATACGGGAGTCCCATCTAGTGAGATCATTTTGCGATCGATAGCAGCCTGGTCTCGACAATCCATACCGATCACAGCCTTTGAGAGTTCCGCCTTCACGTTTTGAACTGCTTTTGTTACTCCCTTTCCAAGAAACCTCGACTAGCTCTTATCGATAATCTTACATAAAGTGTGAACTAGAACAAAACTTACTTTATCGTTATCTCTCAACTCGTGAGCCTCGTGAACTCCAGTGGAAGCACCTGAGGGAACAGCAGCGCGAGTAACACCTAGTTCGGTAGTCACTTGAACTTCGACTGTTGGGTTTCCTCTAGAGTCTAGAATTTCTCTAGCGTCGACACTTTGAATGACAGTCATTAGAGTAAATTGCAAAAATCAATCAATGGAAAATGGCGTAATCAAAAGTATTTGTATCTCACTTCATCGTGTGAAAAACTTTCAGTAGGAGTGACTAGTTTTGAGAAAAATGTCTCAATTACTCTTTACTAGCTATATGTATTTGTAAATAAAATGTATTCATGTGAAAAACAAATATATTGGATTGTAAATAGACAAGTTTCTTGTAACCCACCACCATCAGTAAATGCAAGTCTCAAGTTTACTCTCGTTCTGTCAAAGGCACCTTCATGTTGAATGAGATTGACGATGATATAAATTTCCAACAGCAATTGAATTTTTCTTTTCAAGAGTTGTCGTTCTGTTTCTATAGACAGCTCGACTCTTTAGAAAAACTTTTCTTCGCTCATTTTTTAAATTAAGAAAACGTATTTCAAGGTCCCAACGAGTAGTCTTAAGAGTGATAGAGGAATTGAGAGCTTGAAGAGTTCACTCAGAGAAAGAAGTTATCAACGAAAACTGAGGTGAAACTATTCAGTATTCTAATGGGAAAAGAAGAAATTTGGAAACAGTTACAACAAGTCGTCTGTGAGTTTGTAGAGGGGAAATTATCTTTTTTTCCACTGAACGAGAGTATGTGGGAACTGGTTTCTTACCGTGTGCTTCGTCCCAAAACAGAAAATGGTACTGATAAAGCCACAGGAAGTTTATCTTGTGTTGATGAAGAAGAGAATATGACTGAAAATAGTGAAACTTTAACACTATGTTCAAAACCTATGGAGTTGGAGAACGAAGAAAGTTCGTCAGAGAAATTGATGAGTGTGTTAACCATTTCACCTTCCTCTCCAATGGGTTTTGCTCTTATGCAATGCTCAGAAAGCCAGAGCCTTTCCTCCTTTGATAGGAAAGAACTAGTAGGAGAATTTTATTCCATCGACGACTTGTTAACTTATGAGCCTTTCTGTGCGGATTTTGGACCACTGAATTTAGGACAATTGTAAGGATACCATTTTTTATGTAAAATTTTGCTTATATTGCTTTGAATCCTTAGATATCGATTTATCCAACTGACGAATAAGAAAATTGTTGATGCGAGAGATTCTTGCGTGTATTTTTATTGTAGAGATGAGGATAAATACATAACCAATGCTGCTATTCTAATAGGAGGTTATGCATTGTTTCATTTGGGAATGTCTACAGAAGAAGTTTATAAAAGACTGGAGAAATTGGAATCACGCTTCTGTAATTTCAAGGATGCTTCCTTTGTGAAGTCTTCTTTCCAACTTACTGTAAAACATTGTATTGATGCACTCGATAAGGCCAAAAAATGTAGGTTTTTTGATCCTGAGACTTTTGATATTGAAGAATATGAATTCTTTGAGCAACCTTTGCATGGAGACCTTAACTGGATAGTACCTGGAAAACTTCTTGCTTTTAGTGGTCCTACTGCCGTACGTACTTTATCTCCTGATGGTTCACGTTCTTTTACTCCAGAAGATTATATTCCCTACTTTCGTAAAAAGAATGTTACTTGTGTTGTTCGTTTGAATAACAAGATGTATGAAGCAAGGAGATTTGTTGATGCAGGTATTCATCATTATGATTTATACTTTGAAGATGGAGGAATTCCTTCGAGAGCAATTTTACAACAGTTTTTAAGTATTTGTGCTACAGAACAAGGAGCTATTGCAGTGCATTGCAAAGCTGGTTTAGGTAGAACTGGAACACTGATATGCTGTGCTCTGATGAGATATTACGACTTTCAAGCTGTAGAAGCCATTGCTTGGGTACGCATATGTCGACCAGGTTCCGTAATAGGAAAGCAACAAAATTTCTTAGTAAGACAAGAAATGGAAATTCGATCAGGCGATGTATTTATGGACAACAAGATAATGGAACAAAACGACAATACGGAAATACAAAGCCAAGACGAAACTGTAGCAGGTAGACATAGGGAAAGTTGGGAAAGTACTCTAACCAGTAGAGCAAACAGAAGATTTCTACGAGAAGAGTCAATGACAACACGAAAGTCCAAGTTTGGTCGACCTTTGGTTACTTGCGTTATTAAGGAACCTGACCCAGTATTTCTTAGTTCCTCTTCTCCTCAATAAGCCATGAAAGTTGCATAACGTTTGAAATTGCTTTCATTTGTTCTACATCGACTGACTAAAATTGAATATCTAACCAAAAGGAAAAGTTTCATATTTGTTATAAAAGAATGAGATGGACGAGTACAACTCATTTTTTGGCATACACAATACTTAGTTGGCTCGTTTCTGATATACGAAAACCTTGCATTCCTTGTAAGGCAACCGTTGCTTGGTCTTCCGTCTCAAACTCTACGAAAGCAACACGTTCTTGACCTGCAGCTAACCTTGTCTCTTTATATCCTGGAAATTGAACAAATAAACTTTCCAACTGTTGCAAAGAACAATCTTGTGGAATTCCTGCTATGAATAACACGTGATTAGGCTCTCCCACTTGCAAAGTGTCCAAGTCTTTCGATAAAACTGGTGTAGAAGTTCGTTTACGTTTTAAGCTGTCGGATTTTGGCTCTACACTTGCGTCTTGGTCAGGTTTTCTTTCTGAGCGCCGAACAAAAGTGCCGTCTAGTTTTGCAACCTTCTCAGACTTTGCCTTTGCATATTGTATCACCATAGGTTTGTTATAAAACAAAAAACCTTGTAATCCTCTCAAAGCGTTGGTTGCAGAGGCAATGTCTTCAAATGCAATAAAAGCTTGGCCTCTCATTCGAGTTGTTTTCAAAGCCACTACATCCACTATACGACCAAACTGGGAAAAGGCTTCATAGAGAGACTGACGTAGTTCCTGTTTCTTCACTTTTTCGTCGAGATTCCTAATATATATAGTTTGATTGGGAGGAACATCTACACTCTGAAGGATCCTAGCACCAGTTGTTTTTTCGTTACCAATATTTGTGGAAAGAGATGAAGAGTTCTTCTTCGTAATCTTACTATTCTCCTCACTCATTTTGCAGATCGAACAAGAAACCGATGCTGCATCGTACGGACTTTTTTTATTACAAAAATTGCAGAAAGTTTGTTTTCGGTATTCTTTATACAACTAGTCGCCTATTCTCGCATCAAAACCTGGAATAGGAAAACTAGAAGCAAAGCTTTCTACTTGGTTTTGCAGTCCAATGAGTTCCGGCTGATAATAGACTTCCAATCCTGATAAAAAATCTTGCAACTTCTTTCCAGTTTTGCGCTGAATATTGAGACCAATTTCTATTCCACGATGGAGAAACTCTCCAACTTGTTCAAAGTCTTTTTCTTTGAATCCACGAGATGTCAAAGCAGGAGTACCAATACGAACACCTCCAGGACTCAATGCAGAACTGTCTCCATGAACAGAATTCTTATTTAAAGTAATAGAACATTTTTCAAATAACTTTTCGGCCTTGGACCCTGTCAATGATTGAGCTCTCAAGTCCCATAATATCAAATGATTTTCTGTTCCACTAGTGGCTAAATGATAACCCAACGAATTTAACTTTTCAGCTAAAGCTTGGGCATTCAATATGACTTGTTTTGCATATTCTCTAAACTCCGGTGTATTGACTTGAGCAAGTTGAACGGCAAGTGCTGCAATCTGATGGTTGTGTGGTCCTCCTTGTAAAGCAGGAAATACTGCCGAATTGATCAAAGGTTCCAAATCTTCTCCCCTTCTACTATATGCAAGACATTGACGTCGATAGAATATCATACCAGCTCTTGGTCCACGTAAACTCTTATGAGTCGTAGTTGTCACTACATCAGCATAAGGAAATGGTGATAACACTTGCTTAGCAGCAACTAAACCAGAAATATGTGCCATGTCTACCATAAGATAGGCATCATTCTCATCACAGATCTTTCTAAACTTGGCATAGTCCCATTCTCGTGGATAAGCACTTCCACCGGCAATTATTAACTTTGGTCGAAAGAGACGTGCCAACTCCTCCAAATTCTCATAATCAATATAACCTGTCACTGGAGAAACCCTATAGGGAAGTGATTCAAAATAAATAGAACTTGCAGAGACTCTCTTTTTTGCCGTATAAAAGCCATGTGTTAGATGACCACCGGAGGGAAGATCCAGTCCCATGATACGGTCGTGAGGTTGTAACAAAGCAGTTAAAACTGCAAAGTTTGCAGGTGAACCGCTATAAGGCTGAACATTCACTCCCCAATCATTAGGATTCAAGCTAAAAGCTTCCAATGCCCTTTGTTGACAAAGTATTTCCAATTCATCTATATATTGGTTACCTCCATAATATCGAGCTCCTGGTTGTCCTTCCGAGTATTTGTTTGTAAAAGCCGAACCCAAAGCTTCCAAAACAGCTTTAGATGTGAAATTTTCAGAAGCTATTAGCTCCAATCCTTTCCATTGACGACGTTTCTCTTTTTCTAGCAGTTCATATACCAAAGGATCTGCTTGTTGGAGGCCAGGGTCCAACAAAACACGCTGATCCTTTTTGGTAGTTACCATTCTAACAACAATACCTCGATTCTTTTGATGAGACTTTACATAAATAGGCTTTAGAACTCCCTTATAGGAGAAAGAATAAGGAACAAATGTGAACATGGATAACAACAATTCACGACGATCTATGACATTTATTATTATGGTCATCATGAAATACTTTTGTTTTCTTCGTTGTCTTGAAAACAAGCAAGTGCCTTGATAGCAGTATCAAGTTTCGAAAAGAAAAGTTGTGACTGAATAGATTCTCCTGGTACATATAATGGATTTCTTGTAACTGTGTCAACATATACATTCAAATAAATATCACGAAGAACCCCGGAAAGGTCTCCAGAACCTCTACTCGTCAATAATACAAAACGAAGACCTGTAGGGCTTTCAAAATAATGAAGTGAATATACATCTGTCGAATAATTCTTCAGTTGTCCTCCACTACGACCCATTCCATTCAATATTGTTTGAAACAGAAAGAAACAACACTCACGGTTGTCGAGGAGATAGTTTCTTGCAAAAGTTTTTTAAAGCAAATAATACACCAAAAGTATTTTTCTGATCTTGTGTAGCATCCTTCATAAGTTTGGGTCTACTCCATTCTCTATAGCACAAACAGTTGCCTTGACGATCAAACAAATAAAATGCATAAACCGTCATTCACCAATTTCTCCAAATCAACAGTCCTCTTCTATTGACTTATGAATATCTTTCACAGAAAGTATCAAGACTGGATTAAAGATATTCCACTTCGACTTTATTTTCTGGCTTTGATAGCTACCTTTGGAGGTTCTACAGTAGGCATAGATATTGCACTAGTTAATGGAGCACAATTATTTTTTGTCAAACACTACCAGCTGGGTGCAACTCTACATGGACTTACAACAGCTGCAACGTTATTAGGGGCCCTAATTGGCTCAAGCTTGTAAGATTGTTAGTTTTTTTCTAATATTTATAGATATTCATACTGATATTTTAGTTCTACTTTTATCAATTCTTTTGTTGGCAGAAAAGGCGCTCTAGGTGTTGCTTCTTTTGTTGCAGTTGGAGCTGGAATAATGGAAGCTTTGGTCAATATTTGGGGTTTATTATTGACAGCTAGAATTATTCTGGGAGTCTCCTTTGGAATATTCAGTTCAACAGTTCCTATCTACTTGTCAGAGTGTGCTCCAGCCAGAGTTCGAGGAATGCTGACCGGAACTTATCAGCTCTCTGTTACTTTGGGTTTATTTTTCGGAGCAGTTTCTGACGCCATTTTTGTTAATGTTTCCAATGGTTGGAGATTTATGTTGGGAACTGTTATTATTCCACCATCGTTATGCATAACAGGATTACTGTTTACTCCAGAGTCACCAAGGTGGCTTATTCACAAAAGAAGATATCCTCAAGCTTTGGCTTCTCTTCGAAAGTTACGAACAACCGAAGCTGAAGCTATTCAAGATATGAATTCTATCAAAGAAAATATCACAAGAACTGCTAGAGAAAGAAGTGGTCATGGCATCATTTCTAAAATAATAACAATTCCACATATTCGTCATGCTCTTGTGATTGGGATATTCTTGCAGCTTTCGAGACAGTTATCGGGTGTGAACGCAATGCTATATTATTTCGATGTTGTACTTCGTTCTGCTGGAATGTCTGTTTCTCATGCTGTTTATGTGAATGTTGCATATGGAGCTGGAACTGTTATTTTCACACTTCCCATGTTTTGGATTGTGGATCGATTTGGAAGAAGAGTGCTACTAGTGTACACGATGCCTATCATTGCTTGTATGTCTCTACTGGTTGGATTGGCATTTTTAGGTTCCAGTCAGATTCGCATGGCTTTGAGTATTGTTGGCTTTCTATTATTTCGTCTATTCTATAGTCCTAGTTTGGGTCCTATTTCATGGGTCATTACTGCTGAAATATTTCCTTTGGAAGTTCGATCTGAGTGTTTGAGTATTTGTACTTTCTTTAGTTATGCATTCAACTTTGTTGTTTCATTTTCATTTCCTGATATGATGGATCAAATGAAGACAGAAGGAGCCTTCGCCTTCTTTGCCGGTTGTACAATAATAGATTGGATTATTTTCTTTCTCTTTGTTCCAGAGACCAAAGGCTTAGATATGGAAGTGATGGATCAGTTATTCCGGCAGTCTTGGAGTAGTCAAGCATCACAGAATTTGAAGCAATTGGACAATTTATTTCCGTGGTTTCGCTCCTCTTCAGAGGCTACTGGTAATACTATAGAAGCAGAAAATAGAAATCAAACCATTACAGATTCCATAGATCAGTCAGCTCACAAGGATAGTTCAGAATGGAATAGGAAAGTTTCCAACAAAAGCAACGAACCTTCGTCTCTCATCATCAATCCGGCCTTGCCTGACAATTTGAGCTGATTGGGTTTTCAGTTGGTTGACAGTTTTCAACTGTTGTATAAACTACAAATTTACCAGCTCTAGTTTCCCATAGATATATGTACTAGGAACGAAGCTCATATTACTTGGAACTTTTTAACTTTTGTTATATGCTAGTGGGCCTGTGTCCACTTGGAAGTTTTTTGAGAAACAAGTTGTCATAATTATTGCAAGTTTGTAGATATGGGAGCGGATGTTTCAAAAGATTCCACTCCTGAAAATGTAGGAAAGAAGGAAGGTGAAAAGGAACACCATCATATTCTTCCCCATCACATTCACGTTCCGCATGTTTTCCACAAGTCATCCGAAGAAAGAGAACAAGAACACAGAGAAAAGAACTTAAAAGTACAACCGAGGACTGCAAATACTCCTTCACGAGTGGAGCAGCGGCACTCTTCAGGAGAGGAAAGAAATTCACGTGATAATCGAGAGTCCCCAAAAGCTCAATCCGACCAACTACATGATGTTAACAAAGGACAAGCAGAAACAGTTGCCAAAGAAATACGTACGAGCTTGGAACAACAAAGAAGTAAGTCACAAATTCAGTCGAAGGATGCAGTGGCGGCCACGTTGGAACCAGAAGATGTGCGTTTATCAGCTTCGATGCCTGCAGATCCCTCAGAACAAGGACCTCAGTCACCCTCCTTATCTGCTCGTAACGAAAGCTTATCGAATAATTGGCTAATTGATTATAAAGCGTTAAGAATTGGCGAACCTATTGGAAAAGGTTCTTTTGGTACAGTAAGTGAAGGTCGATATCATGGAACCCGAGTTGCTGTGAAAACCATCAGAAGAGGAGATCAAGTGGGAGATGCTTTAGCTTCTGAGGAGTCTATTGAACAGTTTAAGAAAGAAGCCGAATTGAATTGCAAGGTATTGTTGTACGATATTGAGATATCATTGTCCTTTGATATTGTTTACTAGTTGAGACATCCAAATATTGTACTTTTTATGGGTATTTGTGTGGTAAGTTATTTGGAAAAGAAAAAGTTTGCTTTTGGAAAGATTTGATTCAATACTTGCATTCAGGAACCATCATTTGTTTGTATTGTAACGGAGTTTATGGAACGCGGTACCGTTCGAGACTTGTTGTTATCCAAAAGTCGTTTGGAGTGGAACATTCGATTGAATTGGGCGTTGGATACTGCCACAGGAATGGCTTATTTACATTCATTAGAGCCTTGTATTATTCATCGAGATTTGAAAACGACCAATCTTCTTGTTGACCGAGGCTTCAATGTAAAGATATGTGATTTTGGTCTTTCAAGGTTCATGTCGAAAGATTCTGTGATGAGTGCTGTAGGCACTGTGCAATTTGCTGCACCTGAGGTTTGTTCATTGCCTTATTCATCTTATGTATTATTGAGTCGGAAAAGGTGTTAAAGCATGAGCGCTATACAGAGAAAGCCGATGTTTTTTCCTTTGGTACGGTACTTTGGGAACTTTGTAGTCGTGAAAGAGTCTTTAGAGGAGTTCCCCAAATAGATGTTTATAAAGTAAGTAAGTATTTGATAAAAGTACAACATTGACACATATCTCTTATAGAGAGTGGTTGCTGGGAGGATGCCTGAAATACCTCCAGAATGTGATCCCAGATATCGAGCTATGATTGAGATGTGTTGGGATATGAGTCCCGAATGTCGTCCATCTTTTGAAGATTTGGTGGAAATGTTGAGTGACTTGTTGACCGAAGAACGTAGTTTAGGAAGAGATATTCTCGCCAGTTTATCTGTATCCAGAAAACCACCATTGAAGGATGAAAAAGGTCTTCGAAGTGGCAGTCGGTTGACGAGAAGTAAAGCTATGCCAGTTATTGCAACAAATCCTTTAGAACGTATAGCAGAAACTCCTGATAGTGGATTGTCACCCATGACTGAAAAGGATATGACCAAAGAACGAAATGGTTAAGGAGCTATTTATTGGATGGTCATTGGATGATTGCGGAATTGGTTGAAAATCATCATATAAGAATATATACATATATATATATATATTGGGTATTTCAATATGGAAACCAATAAACTTGTGAAAAGTAGAGATGGCAATTACTTCTCTTGTGACAGGTTTCGTCAAATACATGAACGACTTGTGGAAGAGCGCCAGTCTAAACTGTATTGGAAGACAACGGAATATTCCCAGCTGTATGGTCTCTTATTGAGAGGAAGCAAACCTTCCAACAAAGTAAAACATTCTCTGTTCCATTCCAAAGATTTCATTGCGGGTAGAATAGTTCCTCATATATCACTTATACCAAGCGACGTTGAAGAAGAAGTTCCGTTGTATGGTTTGTTGAGGTGTTGGGTATATGGTTCTAGCGTTGATGACCTTTATGCTGACAATCATAATACAAAAGTAGCTGAATTACAGTTGCCATCAAAGGAAGATATCCAGGTCAGTAGTGAGGAGAGTTTTGCTTTCAGTCCTCGGCCAACGAAGAAAGACCATAGTATAACGTTGGAGAGGAGTGGTGCTTATACCGCAAAGCAATTGTTGGAGGAACATTTGACACATTGGAAGGTATTGTATTTCTTATTACTTCCAGTTCTTTGTTGATATCTCAGCCTTTGATAGAGATGTCGGAAGATTCTTGTTCAAGAGATTCGTACAAAACGGTCACGAGTAACCTATTCTTTAAGAGGACGAGAGTTGCTTGAAAGAATATTAAGTACGCAGAGGGATAAAAAAGGATATACAACCGATAACCAAGTAATGTAACTTGTCTCTTTGAACAACTTTTGGTTCGAAAGACCATGCTATTTGATTTTGTATATTTTTTATGGAAGCAATATACGAATCATTTATACAAGTTTATAGTAAATTTAATTCTTTTAATCATTTTTGATGAATTGTTTGATATAAAGCTTTATAAATATGGATATATTCAGTCATCTTTTGAGTCGTGCAGAATTGTGTGGGTGTAGAGACCAATGCATACTATTCTTCTTCAGTATATCCAACAGTTCATGTGTTAAATACTTTTGTTATGTCAGAAAGAAATCCTGAAGGTGGATATACTCGCAACAGAAGGGAAACACCAGACATATCGGAAGACGACCAGTGGTTACAACGACTTCGGGTTGTCAGAGAGTTGTGGTTCTTACGCGAACAGGCAAGCAACCACATTCATTGTTGAATGTTGACGTATAAAGAGTATTCTAGGCTAGAGTAAGAGCAGTAGGGCAAGAATTTCTTCAGAGACTAGAAAGAGTTGTCGTAAGTGAAAGGCGTTTATGTGAGTTGGGTTCTTAAGGTTACGTTGGATAGCGAGAACATGCTGCCCAAGTTACTACTTTAGTGAATAACAGCAGCTCAAGAACAAATGTGGGTACGTATTCACTTTATCATTTTTATTTTCATAAAAAGATTCAATCTTTTGTTCTTGGTAGGAGAAAACAACGGTACGAGAATGATTCTCATCACGTAGTCACTCATTCCTTTTTTGTAGTACAAATAGAGCCTTCAAGTGATGACGAACTAGAAGCTTCAGTGCATAATTATACTATGGAGGATGTAGTTGCAACTGCGGATGGAGAGACTGGACAACAAGAAGCGACCTTAACTATGGTTTGGAACCCCATGTTGAAATTCCAGGTGTTCCTCAGGAGGTATGTATCCTGTATATAAAACGTTTACTGTTTCATTCAATTACTTATTATTCTCTTTATAGCACTCAGTATCCACAAGTGCTCCTTCCACACATGTTCTCGAAGTCTTTCCTGGTCGTTTTGATGATCTATCCAGTCGCATGAGAGCAGATTCTAGAGATAATATTCAAGGAAGACATGTCGTTTCTAATACATTGGAATCCCGCTTTAGAGAAGATTTGGAACGTCTATTGCTTGGAAGGTTAAGAAGTCCAGACTTTTTACCTCCACAAGTTTTGAACAGAAACGAGCATGATATGCTATTATTTGGAGATGACCAAGACTGGAGACATGACCCTGAAATATCCAATGAGCATTCTTCTCATGAAGATGTATCGATGGAACGGAATATCGATTATCTGAAGAAGGCTGTTCAGATTCTTCAAAGAGATGTTGCATCCTTGAAGAATATTGTAAATGCATCTTTTGATATTCAATTGGACATTCAGCGTTCCATCAGACAGGAACTGGCTGGAGTCTTAAGTGGTTGTTCTTCCACAGAGAGCAATCCAAAGTTATATTCTCAATGGAAAGCGAGTGAGAAGAATTGTTTGATTGAGGGAACCAGCTTTTCTAGAGGTGTTTGTGTGATATGTGCAGATGCAGCTGCCGACAGTTTGTTATATCGTTGTGGTCATTTATGTACTTGTGCCATGTGTGGAAGACAGTTGATTGCAACAGGACAGGTAAGCATTCCAACCACGAGTTGAAGGAATTCTATAAAGTGCATAGTCATGTCCAATGTGTCGAGCTCCTATTCACGACGTGATTCGTGTTTATGCTCCCGAACTAGAATAGGCAAAACATTTATTGTCCAATTATATATTATGTTCAATTGAGAAAGCCAAATATGGAATAAATATCCCTAATAAAGTAATAAACAAAACAATAAGATATTTGCAACGCATTTGAATCGTTCCTACACAACGAAAAATACTTGAAGTACCATTATTTCTTAAAATTCCAAAACCTATACTTACCTCTATACTTACCTGATATTACAAGTCCTCATGATGCTCTTTTGAGAATGTCCCAAGGTTTTGTTGGAAGACTTGAGTTTCGATTCTGATGCCTCAAATACTCTCCAAAACCTTAATGTCTCATCACCCGCTCCAGAAACTACAGTTTGACCATCAGGACTCAATGATAAATGCAAAACTCTCGAAGTATGCCCAGTAAGCTCCGCCATTTTTACCATAGATGGATATTTCCACACAATAAGCTGATTCTGTGAGAACCCGTGACTGCTTACAATCTCTTTGTCGTGTCGATTCCAGATCAAAGCACACACTTGACTCTTTGTATCAATCGACTGTAAACAGGCACCTGTGGTGGTATTCCAAAACTTGATAGTTCTATCTGCCGTTCCACCACCACTTGCAAGTAGATGAGTTTGCCAAGGACACCAAGCAATAGCTTTTACGGCAGCATGATGATGATCCAAACGATATTTGGGTTGATTGGAGTGAAAATGATCCCAAATCATTAACAAATTGTCGTTGCCTCCCGAAGCCAATTGAGACCCGTCAACATTCCATTTCAACCCACATACCTATTATTCAAACTAAGGAAGAGTAACTATCACATAAATGAACAAGTTACTTACTTCTTGTTCATGTCCTCTCAGCGTTTCAACATGATGCTGAGCAATCCGAACATCATGATGATGAATAGTTGTATCTCTCGAACCACTGGAAAGAATAGGACCATTCCATGCAAGACATCCTACTCTTGAAGAATGACTATGCATCTTTCGAACTTGTCTTCCTCTTTGAGTATCCCACAATTGTACCTTAAAAAGATAAGAATTCGATGTTCAAAAGGTTGTTCATTTAACTTACATCTTTCATACTCGTTCCAACTGCCAAATGATGGCCATCAGGAACCCAACTCACAGAACATATCATTTCATCTTGAGAAACATTGCACAATTCTTGAATATCTCCAGTACTTGCATTCCATAGATATACAGAAGAACCCAAAGCAACTGCCAAGATGTTCTCGTGATTCCAATCTAACAAGTTGAGATAATAGTCATCCACCAACTCTGGAGCATCCAGAATACGATCAGGTGTTTGAGGAATATGACGTATCATTCTCTTTCTCTGTTCCGATATTTGTGGCATATTCTGAGAGTACAAAACTTTCAAGGAATTGACATATCCTTCTTGAGGTTTTGGAGCTTTTTGCTTAAATGTGAGGATTTTGCTTTGTGGGCGTTCTTCATGATAAGAATTTTGTAAAAGTGAACTTGCCAAAGCACTTTGATAGTGATGACATGCTGGCGAGTCCTTTCCACTATTCCATTCAACGTTGTCCATATGAGAATCTAGAAGACTCGAACTATTTTGATTGTTTTCCTTTCCATAATATTCTTGTTGTAGATTTAGTCTGGAAACTTCAATATTCATCACATTACGATTAGGAATAAAACGATCCCCCTGAGTTGTCCAAAGATTCATTCCTATCCAACCTTAGGAGCACTAGATGCAACTTACTTGAGGTGTCTTATTTGGTGTTTTAGAAGTTCTATCCAGCTGTTCCTTTCGCTTTCTTTCCCATCTAGCAAGAGGAGCACATTCTAATGGTGTATTAAAGTCTTCCAAGGAATAACTAGTCATGACAGACAAGAGTAACAAAAATGTCCAAAATTGGAATCTTGTAACGGTTTATTCATTTTAAAATTTCTTCCGCTTTGAATGATGCTTAAAGGAGAAAGTTGCTCCTTTTCTCTTCAAAGACTTTTCTTTTTTTTCCTTTTGAAGTTGCCACACTTTAGTCCAATAGTCCTTTTCTTCATCCCCTTTTAATACCCAAAGTACTGGAAATTTATCTCTCAAGTTCGGTTGCCGTTCTTGTAAACAACTTACAGCTTCTTTTGCACTGTTTGGTTGTGCAAAACGAATATAACCAGTAGATTGACCACGAGAAAAGTCAACCCAAGAAATTTCACCAAAAGAGGAAAACACTTGTTTGATTTCTTCTCGAGTTACGCTCTCTCCTATATTTTCCAGACCAAGAATGAGACCTTGCTGAAAAGAAGATTCTTCTGGTTGAGAAGTTTTATTCTCGTTCTCGGACGAGTCTGCCTTGCTTTCTTCAGTCGAATGATTGGCTTTAGAAGGTTGCTCTTGCTTTTTTCGCTTAAAATACTCATCCTTGCTAAGAATCGCCAGTTCCGAACCGGACTTATCCTTTAAAAACTCTTCTTCAGCTGCTCTTTGGGCTGCTTCTTCAGTCTCAAACTCAATAAATGCAGAGCCTTTAAATTTCTTAGTGTCGGGATATCTTCGAAAACGAACTGAGCAAACAACACCATATGGAGCAAACAACTCCACAACACTTTCAAGTTCTGGTTCCTTTTGTTGAGGGAAACCTTTGACATAAATAGTTTTGCGCTTATTGCTAATGGAGCAAGGCAATGCAGACTTCCGTCTTAGTTTGGTTCCATCCTCGTTGAGCTCTACAAGATTTGAGTTTTTAAGAGCTTCTCTTATAATTGACATATCGGTCGTGAGTGATCTTAAACGTTTAAAGCTTGCAATAATATCCAAATAGACGTAGCCATCTCCTGACTCTCCAGTTTTTGAGCGCAAAAACTTGTCTCTTGGAAGGTTGGCATCGGAAAAATAAAACTCTACTTGATTTCTTACTTTATCTTCCAAGGAAGCTTCTTTAGGAACCGCAGCGATAGCCGTCATTGTTTCATAACCAAAACAACGTCGCTGAGCATTTCGATCACTACGAGAATTTCCATTTGTGAGAGAAGACTGTGACACTTCAAGTTTCGGTAATGCCTTGCCAAAAGTAAGTGTTGTGCGTTGTTCAATTCTGTTTAGCAAAGAATCGTATTTGATTGTTACTTTTAAGAGCAGCTGCTTTTGGGTTTTCCACCAATATTTTTTGGCAGTCGGTTCAGAAACGTTATTTCATCGCAGTGGAACGTCGTCTTCATAAATTTGCTTCTAATAGTTGTCAACACCTTTTCATCTGCAGAAACATTGAGGCTTCAGGAATGTCTACTATTTCAATGAATCCACCTTGTATCCTGTTGACTAACGATGATGGTGTCACTAGTCCTGGCATACTATTGTTGGCGAAAAGATTTACATCTTGGGGCTGCAAAGTAATTGTGGTAGCACCAGACACGGACCAAAGTGCTTGTAGTCATCGCTTAACTATGTCGAGTGATTTACGCATGAAACAACTGCGAAACTTTGGTGAAAACATTTTTAGTGTCAGTGGATCTCCAGCAGACTGTGTTTCTGTGGCTTTAGATCCCAACGGTTTACTTTATTATAAAAATTTAGTGCCAACGATGGCTATAAGCGGTATCAACTTGGGTCCTAATACTAGCCATGACGTGTTGCATAGTGGAACTTTTGCTGGAGCAAGACATGCTGCATTTTATGGTGTCCCTTCAGTAGCAACCAGTTTAGCCTCCAACGATATGAGGGAAGAGAATATTTTGACTGCTGTAGAAGCAACGTTTCAGCTTTGTTCCAAGTTGTTGACATTTTTGCCTCAACGTCCCAAAAATTTTCAAAGACCACTTTCTACATTTTATCGGCGAAGGGTTGAAGAAAGTCTTACTGAAGATCAGTATTTTGATTTGCTTTTGCAGTGTTTTCAAACAGGAGACTTGTTATTGAATTTGAATGTTCCTTCCAAATGGAATGGAAAGTTTCTTTCCACTAGTTTAGGAGGTGTATTTTATCGAGATGTGTTACAAAGGGTTTCAGAAAAGGAAGAGAATTCGAGGTCAACAGAAGATGAGATATTTCGTCTAGTTGTTCACGGAGGAATTGACTTTGTACCAGATGAACGATTGACCGACATTGAAGTTTTACGAAAGAAGTTTGCCAGTATAACCTGCTTATCTACTTGGCCAGAGACACATCCATTTGAGATACCTTGTTCCGTTTTAAAGTATGCTTTACAATCGTCCAAGAATGGCTTTCCAACTTGGATTGAAAAAGCATTAGAGCTCCAAAGTCAATTATAGCGTTTGTCTTTATACAAATATTCTAAAAATGGAAATCATCTTTGAAATCCAATCATTCTTTGATTGTGTAATGTTTTAACATTCCCCAAAGAGAAAGGAGGGAGTTGGGTTGCGCGCCTTTTCTTGCAATGCATTCTGAAGCAACTCGAAAAAGACCAAATGGTATCGATATCGACTCTGTTATCAATCTACCAACTATAGAAAACTCTAGAAAGCGTAAGAAAAGTCCGGAAAATGGAAGGTTGACTCTCCATAGTCACCAAGTCGATATTAACAACTTGACCCAAAATGGGTCTGTTACAAGTGAGATAGATAGTCACACAGTGCCACGAGATCCCTCTGAAGATAAAACAAACGACAGATGGGATGATAAGGAAACGTTTGAAGACTTGAATAAAGAGTTCATGGAGAGAAACCAAGATCGTGCAAGTGCAGGAATCATTGAAAAGGTATTCTTGATGAACTTTATGTGCCATCGAAGCTTCGAAGTCATATTGGGTCCCAACGTGAATATACTACAAGGACCTAACGGTAGTGGTAAGAGTGCCGTAATAGCAGCAATTCAGGTTGCTTTAGGAAGCAAGGCTCTATCTACAGAGCGTGGTCACTCATTATCCGAGTTGGTTCTCCAAGGTGCAGATTATGCACTGATAAGACTTCGTATCAAGAATAAGTCACCAGCTCAACAACAAGAGTTGTACGATAATCGATATCGACCCGACCTCTTCAAAGATGCTATTGTTATTCAACGGAAAATCTTCAGAAATGGAGGTAGCGAATGGAGCCTTTTTGATGCAGAAAACAGAAAAATGGAAGGTCTTAATCCTCGACAGGAAGTGGAGAAATTACTGCGTCATTTTAATATTTATGTCGAGAATCCAGCCACTATTGTTCCACAACAAAGGTGGAAAGAACTTTTACAATTGAAGAAGGGTGATGACCTCTATGGATTCTTTTTGGAAGCAACAGGACTCCGAAATTATGAACGCAACTTGATGGAATCTGAAAGTAAGAGAAAGCAATCGGAAGTTGCAATACAGCAAAAGCTAGAAATGGTCCCTTCGTTAGAGAAAAAGGTGAAATTTCTAGAACAAGAAAGGGGTGCCATACAGAATTTGGACCAATTTAAGCAAGATTTGAATGATTTGGAAAAGGAATATGCTTGGAGACTTGTATTACAGGCGGAGAAACAAGTGGATGATAAAAGACGAGAACAATATGAGAAAGAAAATCTTTTAGATACAAAGAAAGAAGCTGTCAAGCAGTTGGATAATCAAATTGACTCGTTAAAAGCCCAAGTGCAGGAGAAAGAAGGCTTTATTAATGAAGTGGCCGAAAGAATGGAAGCGATTCGTGAGCGACGCAAAGAAGTTGATAGTGCCCAACGTCAAAAGCAAGTTACAAAAGATAGTCGTGGAGCTGAATTGACGGTTTGCAAAGCAGCATTACAGAAAATTAAGGATTCCATCAATGAATTAAAGGAAAGACACCGTCAACTAAGTGAAAACGACTCGTCAGAATTGCAACAGACTATTTCTATCGAGAATGAAGTCAACTCTTTAGTCCGTGAAAGAGATTCGTTGGATGAAGATTACAAAAACAGTTGTCATATTATCGAACGAAAGACAGAAGCACTTGAAAAATTGGAAAATGAACTGGAAAGAATGAATCTTTCTATCCAGACTCTTAAACAAGAAGCTACAGAAGCTGAACATGCAGTTGCAAAGTGGCAAAGAGCGTCCAGAGGAAATGTTTGTGAACGTTTTGGAGTTGATGAAGCATTCAAGCGGAATATCGATCGTTGTGTTGCTGCTGGAATGTTTCATCGACCTCCAATAGGTCCTATAGGGTCCTATATAAAGGTGAAAAATGTAAAATGGGCTCGAGCTATTCAAGAGTGCATTGGTAGGAATATTCTTGGAAAGTTTATTGTGTCCGATCATCACGACCGCAAATTATTAGCAAGTCTTGGTGGAAATGTCTCTGTGGTGGTTGTGACTTTCAATAATAGCCGTTATACTTTGCGAAATTCAGATTTACACAATTATCGCACAATGATTGATGAACTTCTTGTGACTGATGCACTTGTATATAATACTTTGCTTGATTTATGTGAATTGGATATGAATTTGTTGTTTGATTCGTTACATGAATGCATCGTTGTTGCTCAACAAAAACTGCCCAATGTCAAATGTTGTTGGTCTGTTGAAGGCAAAAGAGTTTTCATGCGCAATGGAGGCCTATTCCATAGAGGTTATCTCTCCAATGATCCCATTCTTCTTACTGAAGACTTTGGACGAGCTGAGAAGGATGCAGCTGCAAGATATAAGAACTTGAAGGAAAAAATTCAGTTAAACATCAAACAAGCAAAGGAGGCTCAAAAGACACAACTGAATCTAAGGCAGGATATAGATCGTGCTATCGAACGACGAAGATGCACTTTAGAACAGAAGAGAAATGTTGAAAGGAAAATAGCTGAGAAGCAACAGGAACGTGAGGATCTTGAAACTATGAGAGATAATGACACAATAACGGAGCGACTTGCAACGTTGATGGCAGAAAAAGAAGAGAAGGAACAACAAATTGTTCTTATTGAAGGCACCATAGATGAGTTAAATAATGAACTCTCAACTCTTACGGAACAAATGAACGAGCTGAGGAATGAGGTTCACCGATTGACTCAAAACTATGACGATATTTACAAGTTTATGCAGGACAAGAAGGAAGAATGCGAAGGCCTGTATAGAAAGAAAGCCGAATTGCAAAGAGAGGTTGAACAGAACTATTCCTACATCGAAATGATCGCTTCTGAAGTTGTAACTTTGGAAAATGAATTGCAAACAAAGCGTAACGAAACACAAGAAAAATACGGTCCTCCTTTAACAGAATGGAAATATTCATCTTTAGAGGCTGTGGAAAATGCCATTACATATTTGACAGAACAAATCAAAGTGATGAATGAAAGGTCTCCTGGTAGGACTCTTGTACAGATAGTTCAGGAATTGAACGAATGCAAGACGAAATTAGAAAAAACGAATAGACAACTCTCTCATTTGCACACTGTAGTTAAGCGTATATCTGATAATATAGCAAATTGGAGAAAATCCTATAGTAAAATGCATAAGAGAGTGGAAAGAACTATCCAGTTATATTTTGCTCTTTTTATGAGTCATCGAGGTCATAAAGGAGAGTTGCATATTGACCGAAAGAGGAGAACTGTTTCTATCAAAGTTTCTGTAGCTTCTCAGCGCAAAAGCAATGGCACATATATCTTAACGGAAGACCTGAAATCTTTATCTGGAGGAGAAAGATCTTATACTACACTATCGTTTATGCTAGCTTTAGGTGAAGCATTGCAAGTGCCATTTCGAATATTTGATGAGTTTGATGTATTCATGGATGAAGGAAACCGTCACACTGCTTATCAAATTATATTTGACGAAGCCAAGTCGCAAAGGAATAGACAATTTATCTTTCTGACTCCATTGCATCTCCCCTCAGTTATTTGTAACAGTAATGACTTGAGATTTATCACATTACAGCCTCCTAGTAAGTTAAGGAAGCTAACTTTTACGTGTTTTATGTTAACATTTTATGTTTCAAGGTAGAAACAGATGGATGAATATGGAACAACAGATTCTGGATGAAAATGAATATTCTTAAACTACTTGATCCTCCACTCCGTTGAAGACGTTCATAGTCATTTACAAAAAGAATGGCAATGTATATATACACGTGAGACAACTCATATTACTGGCTTAAAATTGTAGGTTTTTCTATCCGTTGGGAAAACTATAGAGAAAGCAGAAAGTATTGAATTCATTTGAACGATGAAAAATAGAAGAAGCAGGATGGGAAAAGCAAATTTTAAGATAATAAAAAGTTACATCGACAGAATCATAAGTCAAAGATAGCACACACAAGAACGTAGCAACTCCAAACTTTACCAATTATATTTCTTCTTGTTGCTAAGTTACGCATGCAAGAATATTGAAGCTTCCTATTCCTCCACTATTTGTTTGGACGATATTTGTATCAGTTCCAACGACTTTTTTGCTTCCATTACGTGATTGGCAAATTTGACTTGACTTGAATAGATATGACGAATAATGCCGTTAGAGTCGATGATATAGGTGCATCTACCTGGAAGAATGAACATAGTGTTTGGCACTCCGTAAAGCTTTCGTACTTTTCCTCCTTGATCAGACAGCAAAGTAAAGCTCAGCTGATGCTCCTTGGCAAGAGATTTATGACACTCTACAGTATCCGAACTGATACCAAATACTATTGATTCCATTCAATATACATATTTATTTATAGAACTGCCATGATAAAGCATTACCTTTTGCATTAAGCTCATCAAAATAGGACATACTATCCCGAAAGAAACAAGCTTGTCGAGTACAACAATAAATCTAAGCTTATGAGTGTGCAGTTCGTTTCAGATGAACTAAATATTACCTTATCCTAAAAGCATCTTCAGTGACCATGAAACAATCTAATACAAATAAGGCTACCTTAGGATAGAAGAAAAGGACCATCGAACACTTTTCTATGAAATCACCAATCTCTACCATGTTGCCATCTTGGTCCTTCAACTGAAAGTTTGGAGCTTTGTCTCCTACTTGCAACTTCAAATCAAAGTATTAGAATGTTTTGTTTTGATACCACTTTAGAGACTTACTTTAGTCATATCAAATGTCTGCTGCAAAAATTCTTCACCGCGTGGAAGCTGGCATACAGCAACATGATTGTAGTGATAATGACGTGTCTATCCATGGCGAGATAGCTTCCGAGTCCATGAAAGAAAATCTGATTGAGGGACAACGTTTTTCCAGCAGATGCAAATTTTGTATTGCTATAAATAGCGTTTTGAAGTAACTATGAATCTCTCTTTGGTAGAAGTTAAAAGTATCCATTGAGAGCAACACCATCAAATCAATCAATAGATAGATAGAAAGATGATAGCATATTTGAATTGTATTTTCTTTTATGCCGAAAGCTTGGATAATACAAGAGAGTATAGCAAATATCAACTATATTCTCTCTCTCTCTCTCTTTCTTCTATACCATATATTGCTTTTCCATGTTGTAAACGAGATGTGCGTAACCCTTTTCTATTTTCTATGTAAGGATGATAAGAGAGTCATTTTGTCTTAAGCTCTCGAGTCCTCGTTCCATCGATGGACGCCCGCCATAATTGAATTCTTCAGCAATTTCAAGTTAGTTATGTACGGAGATCACGCAACCGCACTTGTTCATCATTTATACAAGAGCTCTTCTTTGCCTCCTTACAGTGTAGGTTATAATATACGAATTTGGAAAAATATTTAAAGAATCATTTCCTAATTTATACAGGAACATTTGGTTCGTCAAGTCACAGAAGAAATAAACGAACTTTACACTCGTCTAGTTCGACTATTGGAAAGAGTCAACAACGACCTTACTGACCCAAAGATTGGAGGAACAGCGATCTTCTTTCACCGTATTATTCTCCGCAACAAGCGCTGCGTTCTTGCATATTTGTAAGAAGTGTCAAATGTGAAATGGCGCAATCTAAGCATTGCTTTCTTAGACTGGATAGATTCTATCGATTACGTGAGAGTAGATATCTTTCTTTACCGGAACAATGGGAAGAAAATACTAGTGCCTCTGAAAGAGAGTTGCTCGGACAGTATGAACAACTTGTAGCCACGTATAGTGACAACATGCAAATAGATGTTTCTTCGGTAAGTTTGACTTTTTTTGAATCACATACAATTTTTCAAGTATTACGTAGTCTTTATATCCACCTCAAGCACTATTTCTAGAAGTGAAGGTGATCAAGGACTGTGGAACTATCATGACTGAGAATGGCCCTGTGCACTTAAGAAAGGATACTTTGCATTACTTGAAAAGAGCAGATATTGAATTGCTGATTCAACAAGGCTATCTTTTACCTATTTCCTAATACATATTCTCACATGGGTTCCAGTCAAAACCCCTTTATTGAAATATAGGAATAGGACTTGCTATGTTTGGTTCTTATTCCATTTTTCTTTTATTCTTTTCAAAACATCCGCGTTGCTAGGTCCAGGTACCCATTGATGCGTTTCAAAGTCGTAAATGACGTTAGGCCTTACTCCTGTACCTTCACAACGTTCACAAGTGGTGTACTTTTCCCCGTTGCATTGATTGCAAAGAATGCTATCTTCTTCGTCAGGACCTATTCGTACATTTCCTCTTCCGAAACAGTACAGACATTTTACTTTTCCTCTTCCTAAACAAATAAGACATTTGTTTCCCTGCTTGAAGGTGAACACAAGAATGGTTGCAACTCGGTTACAGTTACTTACGGGTTCCTCATAAATATTCCAACTAGGATGGAGTTCAGAAGCAGGATTAATATCCATTTCATTCGATGAGACACTATCTTTGTTTTCCTTGTTGCTGTTTTCAGTCGAATCGGAAATTTGCAAGAAAGTGGTAAACACAGCAATATCTTTCAATCCAACTCGGCTTTTTCTATTTCTACAAGAAATTCTAGGCATTCTCTTGCCTTGAAACTGTAACCTTTGCTTCTGACAACTCCAGCAACTACCAATGAATAATAGTTTAGGCATCGTGTTGTGTGCGGTGATCAGTCCAAATCGGATGAGTAAGAAAATGGACTTTTGACTGAGTGACGAGTGACAGGTTTGTGTATGAAGAGACATCGTAGTTTTGATGACCTGGAACTGAGTCCCTATAAAACTTTGAGTTTTGAAAGAAACCAGTATTTTACAACAATTCTTTCTCCTAAGAACTTGAATATGCCTATTAGACCTCAAGAAAGTTATTCTCAAGGCTTACGAAAACGAGCAGCTTCCTTGGAGGAAAACGCCCAAAGAGATGGCGACGATGAAGCGAATAAACTAATTGTCAACTCAAAAAACTCCTCGAAGAATAAAGTGTTGGAAGCTAATGACTTGTTGGACGAAGACAAAAAGTCGCTTCATCACGGGAGGCAACCAAGGACATTGACGAGTCGTTCTCCTAGAAGAGATATTCTCTCTTTGGAAAGACATAGAACTTGTTCAGTAACTGGTGAGCCTCCCGTACCTACGAGAAAGTTTACTGCCTCACCTTTACTTCGTACTTGCTGTTTGTTGTTATCCGGCTCTCTCGTACTGTTTATGACCAGCTTTGCAGTATATCTAAGAAATTATATGGCTGCAGCTCATTCCGTTTCTTTTGTTTTTGTGACTTGTTTGTTTTTCGGTCCAGTATCATTTGCAGCAGTTATTATTGGTTTACACGGTTGTTGTGCAGCCAATGTATCCATCTCTAAAGCTTCATCCAAAACTATTCGTATGACTATGGCTATATTTCTCATTTATCTTGTGATCATTTATATTTTTCCTTTTGATCGTCAAGAATGGTATGAAAATACTGCCAAACAAGCTTACAACCGGTGGATGCATAGCAGCAGTTCCAAGTCGAACAATACATTTGTAGATCCTCAAGACTATTTCCTATCCAAGTTTTTGGAAAGTTACAAGTTTCGTATATTATCATATAATATTTTTATTAGGCCTCCTGGAGTCACCAGTAACGGAAATGATTACAAGGACGAAAGACTTGTTCGTTTTCTCTCGCACATGATGCGTTATGATATTATTTGTTTACAAGAGTTGTTTACTTTGGGAAGTGATCGATGGCAAGCTCTTACAAAAGCAGCACGAATATTTGGTTTCTATTATGAAGCACATTTAAAACGCAATCTATTTTCATGGTTACCCAAAGTTGTAGATGGAGGAGTAACCATTTTAAGCAAATTTCCAATCGTGGCTACAGACTCCATATTCTTTAAGCGTTCCAGTTATTCTACCATCGACTGCATCGTAGCCAAAGGAGTCTTATATGCCAAAATAGAGTTGCCCTTTGTAGAACCTCGTTATCTTCATTTATTTTCTACACATTTACAAGCTGGAGATGAACCTTTGGAAGAAATGATGAATATCAAATTGACTCAATTGGAACAAGCACGAGAGTTTATTTACTCCAAATTGAATTCCGAAAGGAAAGAGTTGGTCGTGTTCTGTGGAGACTTGAATGTGAATGGACGAATGAGTGTTGTCGATGGAAGAGATAGTAAAGAATATTTTAAGATGATGCAGTTGCTCTCCGCTTCTTCTTCATCATCTGGATATTCAAAAATACCTTCCTTAAGATGGAAAGATGTCATTAGAGATAGTTATCAAGGTATGCATCCAGTGACCGTTGGTGATGCAGATGTAGATGAATATGGTCAATTATTGCGTACTTGGGAACTTCAGTTGGCTTCCAAAGGGGATCGGGGTTGTCGTAAGAGATTGGATTATATTTTATTCGATCCACGAAACAGTGGATTGGATATTTCTAATAAGAGTAGTTCGAAAGTGGAGACTTTCTTTGTTTCCGAATTGTATAGAAACAAGGAATCTTCTATAGAAACCACTCAGAGTCAAGAACTGGATGTGAACAGACCAGATATTGAAAATAGTAGACAACTTGCATTTGTTCAACTTTCTGATCATTACGGCGTCTCTTCTTCCTTGGAATATATTCAATCTTTATGAATGAACCCAGAGTCTACTTTATTTTTTGACTGTAATAATATTTGGTTAATGAATAAAGTAGAACGCCGCTAATTGCAATAGCTGAACCAATTGCATTGGCAGGAGTGATAGGATTCTTGAACACCAATAATGAAGTGATTATAATAACCACACGTTTCATTGTATTTCCTACCGAATGAGTTATCGGATGAACGGAATCCAAAGCATAGAAAGCCACTTCATTATACAAATAGAAGAACAGTCCGGAAGTCAATAACCCAGTTATCAATTGCATACTAGTTGTTTTCCCACTAGTAGCCAATATCCAACCTTGATACAGTTTGGGACCTTCCAATATAAGAGCTACTGGTAACAATATGAATGTCGATAAAATTGTTAATACTGCGAATAGATTTGCCGGACTCATATGTTTATAGGAGGTTTGGTCATTCATAGAAATTTTGGAAAATATGTTACGACTAGTAAATGCAAAATTGGAAAGCATAGCAGCCATGAAACCTGTCCAAGTAAAGGAAAGTTCAGTAACAGAAGCGATTATGACACCTCCAACGACCGGTAAAAGAGAAAGATAAACAGGAATAGGAAACACTGAACGTAAGATAACAGCTGAAGCCAAAACGTTGACAAAGGGTTCAAGTGCTTTTACTACGTGAGTAAAAGATATTGCAACGGCACCTAAAGAAACGACTGTCGATATATGGCCAATTGTATGTGCTGCTGCGACTGGTAATAGTCTTTTGATATCTTCCAAAGGAATATGTGGTGCCTTTCTTAGATGAAGCAACCATAACGGAACAACATAAAATACACCCACTGCCAATTGCACCCAAGCAACTGTCCAAGGAAAAGGATAGGCATTCAACAATTTCTTATTGGAAATGTTATAAACGATATTAAAAGCATACCATAAGAAGAAATAGGAAGCAACTTTCAACTGACGTTTCCAACTGGCAGTATTTTGAGAGGGCTGTGAAGCTTCCGTCACTTTGATGGATTCTTTAGAAGGTTCATCCAAGGAAGTGTTGGCTAAACAATAAAACTGTGGAAGACGACGAGCTTTGGCTACCAAGTATTGTCTGGTTATCCAATCAAACTTTCGCATCGGACAACTCCAACGACTATCTCATATTTAGATGAACAAGTTCTATATTCTAATCAATATTCTATTTACCGTAAGGCATATTTGTCTTTGAATACACACTCATTTGTCGATTTCCATATGCTGTGACTAGAAATAAACACAAAATGATTCAATGAATGCTTTAAAGTTTTTCGAAAGTCCATATCCATTTCTGAGGTTTCACACAAAAAAGCCAATCATCTAATCAACATTGAAAAGGGAGATTGGAAAGAGCTCAATGAGATTCTTGTTTTATTATGCGAGGCAAAACGGATTCAAAGCACATCTTAACAGTCAAAAGAGATAGTCATATTCACAGAATCCTTCTCTTTAAACACATATCATAGTTTACTGCGACTGTTATGCTCTATCCAATCGAATGCAATGGGAGCTAACAAATGAGGTGGTATTCCAAAAGAGTCCACTAAAGGCAACGCTTGTTCTCGAAGTTGCATACAAAGTTCAACGACAACTCGATGTAGTCTCTGAGCATCTTCTGGAGATAAACAGTTGTAGCGTAAGAAACAAGATTGCTTATCAATCAGGTGTAGAAGAAATAGAGTCTGACATTGTTTCAAAATATTTCTTGTAGAGAGGTCGGTTTGACTCGCTTGCTCAATCAACTTTTCAGAAAGTTCTGCAATCAGCAATTCGGTATGTGCTCTACCAACTTCCGCCTACAATAAACCCAAAATATTCATTCTTTATCTCCAAACAATCCACTTTATAAATACTTACGGCCAAGTCTAAACATTCATTCCAAACTTCGAAGGAAGACTTGCCTTGTTTGCTACGTTTCGCTACTTCCTTGGCCAAACTAGCAACAAGCTTAGATTCCAGTCGCTGCAAAATGAGTCGAGAAAATGTAATGGAACGAATGTCTTCTGGAAGCCGTCCAGTTAAGAAACTTTGATCATTCATATACGATAACGGTCCAACAAATTTTCCAGCTTTCATCTGTTTAAGAAAATCATTCAATACACTCTACACATTGCAGTTACTATAAATGTCAATAGGAATGGGAACTAAACCTTACTCGGCTAACTTGTTGCAATAATACCAAATTATCGCCTTCATAAGTTAATAAGACATCAAAGGAACTCTTCAAAACACCAATTCGATTTTCACTTTTATATCCTTGACCTCCACAAGCTTCTCTACATTCTTGTAAAGTATCTCTCATTTGCCACGTCATCAAAGACTTAAAACCTGAACTCCAAATATGCAATTCCTTTAGATTTTCGTTTGCCCGATTACGATAACGCGATTTTAAATGATTGGCACATAGAGTCATAATACAGCTATTTTCAACTTGAGCATCATTTTTCAACATTCTTCAACACAAAACTTACGTAGCAGCCAAGGGTGGCATTAGCCTTATCTGATGACTTTGATAGTTCATGATCGGTATTTCCACTCCCTCTGTTGGACCTATCAGTAATTATCAAGTCCTTGTCATCAACTGATATGTTATCTATCACGAGCCATTATTCTTACCAAAAGCTCTTCGAGAAAGGCCATATCTTATAGCAATAGTCAAACCAACCATCGACTGATTCATAGCCGAACGAGAAATACTAACACGACCTCCAGTCAAGGCACCCAACTGTGCAGCAAACCTTTCGTCTGCAGTCTTATATACTGAAGAATAACTGCCATTGGAAGAGACTTGATTGAATCTCGCCAACATATGTTCTCGAGGTATGCGAACCTGGTCAAACCATATACGTCCATTGTCCACTCCATTTAAACCCATCTTATGACCACAGTCAGCTAAAGTGACTCCATTTACTATTCTTCCATCATCTTCACGAATTCGAACTACAAATGGATGAATGCCATAGTAAGTTCCATTCAAGGATAGTTGCGCAAACACTGTTGCCCAACGAGCATTGGTTGAAGCTCCTCCTATCCAATACTTTTGTGCAGTTTCACAAGGAGTATGAATGATAAACTCTTGTGTGGACTTGTCATAAGTTGCTTGAGTCTCAATACCTCTTACGTTGGAACCATGACCCAACTCTGTCAACGCAAAACAGCCGTGCATAGAACAATCTTCTACCTTTGGAAGCCATTTCTGCTTTTGCTCGTCTGTTCCTAAAAAAGCAATGGTAGAGCCAAATAGGCCATAGTGCACAGTCATTGCAACACTCAACGAATGGTCATACATTTCTACACATTCAAAAAAGGCGTCAAATCGGGCCTAAATGATAAAAAAACTGTCAATATGATGGACTCTTGTCTATCTATGCAAAACTTGCTCTATCCTTGGGTTGTCCAGAAGTAAGAGTTCCTTTCAACAATCCCAACTCATTCAATCGAGACCAACGTCTCCTCAACAAATTACGTTCTTCTTCCATAGTTATCCCATAGCGAAATTGAAACAATGGCTCTTTGAAAACTTCAAACAATCTTTCTCTCAGGTCCCAGTCATGGTCCACAAAGAGAGGATAAAGTTTCTTAGGTTCAAAGGTTGGACTAGGAGAAGCTCGTTCAGGTGGAATATATTCCATACAAGGAACAATTTCAACTCCACTATTCTCACACTTCATTCCAAAAGAACAAACCAAGTTTTCCTGATGCACGTTCACAACTCTTCCTCAGATGGATTTTGTTTCTGCATTTCAAAGCGACAAAATCATTTCTTCAAGCCACCGTTTGACTTGTCCATTAGACATCGATGAGTATATATTTCGTCTTCTTTATTTATTATGATGTGTTTGATTATACTACAATGAATACAACTCTTAAAGGTTATTTGAACTCTATATAACAAAGCAACAGTACTTCAACTACGTTGTCTCTTTCGGGAGACCTTTGAGTGTTCTCCATTCAAGTCGGTCATCTTCCTTCTAGTTACTAAAAACTCATCCTGTTGAAGAATAAGACTCAAAGGAGTACATTTCATACTTTTATCCCATCTAAAGAGACATTCATAACCTTGAGAAAATGCTGTGCGTACTCTTGAAACTGCAAAACTATTCCTTCCCAACTCATTTTCTTCATCTCGAGGATCTTCTAATGAAAGCAAGTTGGGACGATTTATCTCAAAAGGAAATCGCTCCACCTTTTCGTAATAATAACCGCCATTCTTCACTGAAATACCCGTTTTCATATAATTGAAAAGTCTTCCATAAAGTTGAAAATATGATAAAAGCAAAGAACCGAGATTGGAAATAAATCCTTCCTTTCTCATATCAGGAAAATTCACAGGAATCATTTGCAAATGAGATATAATGGAGAGTAGTAATAAATATGAACCAATTCCTCCTTCATGAACTTCATTCAAAGCTCGTTGATGAAGAAAACATTTGATAACCATCATAAGAGGACGCAAAGATGGATATCTCTTTAAATACTTTTGAATATGTCGGACATTTTCTATTCCGTTTGTTCTTCCAAAAGAGATATCACATTGTATACCTGTTTCTCTATCGGTAACTTTAATGATTGGAACTCTAGCTTTATCAATAGCCATAACTCGCCGCATTTTGTTGGTTTTACGTCTCAATACATCTGCCAATAGATGCAACTCTCGTTTGCTTCCATTTTCTGGAGAACTCAATATGCACAAGTCAATATCGCTAGTAGGAAGATAAAGGTTAGTTGCAAAAGAACCAAAAACGTGGACACTTGAATTTGGCCATATTTGTCGTATTATCTCAGTAACTCTTTCTATGAGTTGTTTTCGTTGTTTTGTTTCCTCTCGGGTACCCGAAACAAATCGTTCCAATTCTAATATTTCATAATGGAGAGCTATTATCGGGTGTTCTGCTCTCTTGATCCGTTCTTTTGTTCCTTTGTTAACTATCCAACAAGGAAAAACAAAGGAGTCATCTTTATCCAGTTCGTTTGATTCATCCCATTGGGAGTGAGTCTCCGATAAGGAATGGTCCGTTCTTGAGTCCAATGGAATAAAGTCATCCAAGTGCTTATGTACCATTTCTTTGGTTTCTTTCTTTCTATACTGACTTAGAATGGTTCGAATGGTTTGGGCTCCCAAGGTTGGTTGGGTTTCTTCCCCAACTAACCAAGCGTCCATGTTTCCAATACAGTTCAGTTGCCTTTGTCTCAATATTCTAAAAGGTATTATATATTTTGTTGTCTGTATTGTCAAACCAATTTATTCAAACACAAACTCTGGGTCTTTCCACCAACCTAACAATATCCAACGTCCAAGAATCCCAACATAAATGTAAACATAATCAGCAAAGTCTCGAACATGAATCACCGTACAAATACCGACATTCCATATGGTCCAATCCTTATATTCTCCTATCACAAAGGCCAATCTAACGATGAGAAAATATACTTACTTGCAAATTGAATAAATAAGGTGCAATTCGTACTCGAAGTTTATCTATTTTAGCTTCCTTATGTCTGGCCAGAATAGGTGCTTGAGTCTTTATCCATTGAAGGAAGCTGGCTTCACTGGGGTTAGTAGCAAATAGTAACAATCCAATCAAAGCAACGATTCCAGTAGAAGATGGATGATGAACCATCAACCAAATCAGACCAATTCCAACCAATTGAGCCAAACTCCAACCCACCAGTTTCAATATACGACCAGGTATAAGACCAATCCCTGTTTCATGAGGAGGAGCTGAACCTGCTCCGTGTCTAGCAGCTGCATTCAATAAAGCACTGCTATGAGGTCCATAGGATACTTTTTCACCCGTATCTGTCCTTTTGGGTTCCACATCGGAAGCAATCATCGCAGCCAAACCAATTGAACTCGTTAATAATAGGCTTTGAACACTCCCACTGGACTTGGTTCTCCAGACTTTCTTCCAAGAGAACCACTTCCAAAACAATTGCTTCCAGGAAAGCTTCAAACGTGAATATCCATGGTTGTATTCATCTTTGCAGCTATTGGAACTGACAAAAGGACGATTATTATTATTATTATTATTATTTGCTGGAGTCTGCCTACTGCAGTGATTGAATACAACCTCTTCACTGGTTAATTCCCTATTTCCAATGCCAAAAGAATCAAATAAAGATACCCATATTAGATTATTTCTATACAAAAATGATTCTTGACAAAGGTAATGGGTATTCCTTCCAACCAGCTTCGATAACTTTGAGCCTAGTGAATTACAGAGCTGCGTCGACGAAACAATATCTCCTATACTTGCCATTGGACGCTTCCATTCCCTACCCATAACAACTAACAAACGCTGTACTACTCTATTTTGGTTTTCTGCAACTACATTCGTGGATTTCCATAACTTTAAGAATACTCGGTGGGTTGTTGGCTTATTCCATAAGAATCTTCCCATGGCCCATAAAGCCATTGGATATTCCAAGTTGAAAAATATTTTATTTATGCTTTATAGATAACATTCCTTTTCCGTGTAGAAATACAAAACCAAAAATAATCACACCAAACAACATACTAAAAGCTGCAGCATAATAAGGGTATGCTTGTAATATAAATCTTTCATATTCATCATGTCGAAAAGGTCTTACCGAGACAACTTGAGATACTTGAATAGGTGAATATCCTCGACGATAATATTCAATAGAAAATTTGTAAACTCCTATTCTATCCGGTATTCTAAAGCGGGTATAATATGAGCCTTTTGTTGTATCCACACAAGTCAAAGTCTTTCGAATATAAGGATCCAACATGATAAACTCCAATTGCACATCGTTTCCTAGAAATGGTTTCCAACGATGTTCTATACCATTCCATTCTTCAATATCCACTAAAAATTCTATTTCATCCTCAACTCGATACATATGATAGGATGAATGATTTGTAAGCAATTGTCCAACTTTGTGATGTCTCCAGTTTTGTGTACGTAGCATTCCTCGTTCACCTAAAGTCCAACTAACTATTTGAGAACAAAAGTGCTTATTTCCTAAAAATGTTGTTTGTAAAGAATTGGCACAAATATCTGTTGAGCCAGATAATAAGACACGAGCTCCATTTCTTGACTGCAACGCAGCCATCATGACCGTTTCTTCACCACTAACTATAGGCAAATCAGTAATTCGAGTATTTGGAAAATAGGAATAGGAAGAAGATGAACCCCATAAGATGGGAAATATTAGTTCTCTCTTTGGAAATATTCCCATACCAATTCCATGATATACAATCGGTTTGTTTTCAGAGTCCACGTAAACTACAGAAGAATTGGTAATTCCAGTAGCCAATACAGCAGAATGTTTTCCACCAAAGTGAGAATCCCAATCACTAGAATAGTAAATATGATCCAATACAAGTGATTGAGGTTCATCCAACTCACAACCAAAACTTTCAAATAACTACCCATATTCATCCATTCAAATAAGCATTCCAATCCACAAAAGTAATAAAACAAAATAATCTTACTTTGGAAGTAGGCTCTTCATAACCCGTGTTTGCAAAGAATATGACGTTTCCTCCAGCTTCCACAAAATCCAATATATCTGCTCGTTCAAGGCCTGTCGTCATAATACCAAAAGTCTTGGGACACAAAAGGAATAGATGAGAAAAGCGGTATTCTCCATCTTCTGAAGTTAAAGACCAATTGAGATCTTGGGCTGTTTTCACAGTCAGTTGATAACCCTTTTCTATTCAAAACAAAACACTTCAGTCACAAGTACACAAGACATCCCATAAACTAACCTTCCAACGTAGAAAACAAAAAGGAGTGACTTTGATATAGTTGTTTGTCGTCCACTAACACTAAAACTTTTGGATCGATGAAAGAAATGCTATCAACTGCAATACAACAAAGTAATACAAGTGTCAGCGTAAGCCAACGCATCATCAATGGTTGAATAGTCATTGTCAATAATTATTCTAATGAAATGCTTCATCATGTTTTCAACAAGACACAAATAATTGAGTATGAAAAGTTTTTATATATGATTGGTTATATCGAAGAGTTTTCTTTCAACTATGAATTCAGCAAGTCATGGAAAATGATAAACCATTGGAATTTCATGTCTCGTTCGTTGTGGTTGCTACAAGCTCTGAATAGTCTGCCACTCAAGGAAAGTATTCAAGATGATATTCTTATGGAATCACAATTGGACTATGCAACTGACTTGTGTGTTGAGACAGAACCTTGTCCTGTTCCTCAGATACTCCCTGTGAGTTTAAAAGGACAAGAAAATATGACCATACAAAATTGGGCTCATATAGAGTCCTGCAAACCAAAACAATATTTTGAACCGGAAACTGTTGAAGATGTTGGAAGAGTCATCGAACATTGTCGCAAAAATAACTGGAAACTGAGAGTATTTGGAACAGGTAAACAAACCTTATCATAATCCAATATTTTAGGAGCATATTGAACCATCAGCTATTTAGGACATTCCCCTAATAATATAGCTATGACGGAAGACTGCATACTCAGTCTACGAAAGATGAATAGAATCGAAAATATCGATAAGGAACAGAAGACCGTCATTGCACAAGGCGGAACAACTATCAAGCAACTGAACCAGGAACTTGCCAAACATCAATTAGGACTGTCAAGTTTAGGCTCCATAAGCGAACAAACTATCGCTGGTGCTATTTCTACAGGGACACATGGAACAGGTATTAACTTTGCGATACTTGGTGCCAATATTGTTCAACTTGAATTATTTACTGCAACTGGAGAAAGATTGCTATGTTCCGAAACAGAACAACCTGATATCTTCAAGGCAGCTGTATGTGGATTAGGCTGTTTGGGAATTATTGTCAAAGTAAAGATCCAATGTGAGAAAGCATTTCGTTTGTATGCTATTCAAGAACCGCTATCTTTGGATAAAGTGTTGGACAATATGGATGATTGGTTAAGGAGTGCAGAACATTGGCGCTTTTGGTGGTTTCCACATACAGATAAGTGTGTGGTATGGACAGCTAATCGAACAGAAAGGCCTAAAACTCCTCAGCCTTCATTTATATCTGCTTGGTTCAAAGAACGATTGTTAGGCTATCATTCCTTAGAAGCCATGTTATATTTAGCTACCTTTGCTCCTTCTTTAATTCCTATTATCAATAGATTGTATTTTCGCTTGTTATTTGATGAGAAAAAGGAGAAAGTAGATCAAAGTGACAAAGTGTTCAATTTTGATTGTTTATTTCGACAGTATGTGGATGAATGGGCTATTCCTCGAAGACATACTGTGGAAGCTATGAAAAGACTGCGAAATCTCATTGAAACTTCAGGATTATATGTTCATTTCCCTATTGAAGTGCGTTTTACTAGTGCTGATGATATTTGGTTGAGTCCATCTTATGGAAGAGAGTCATGTTGGATAGGAATCATTATGTATCGACCTTATTCAAAAGATGTGCCTTTTAAATATTATTTTGAACAATTTGAACAAATTATGCAAAGCTTGGATGGAAGGCCACATTGGGCTAAGCCACATGGCTGTAACTCCAGTCAATTTTCTAAAATGTATCCACGTTTCTTAGAATTCAAGCAAATTCGTGAAAGGTTGGATCCTGAACACATCTTTAGTAACCAGTATATCGATAGAGTTTTGGATGGATGACAAGACAGATAGCCATTTCAAGTATATTCCTGAACAGTAAAAAAATTGATTCTTAAAACTACAAAAGTAATAATTTTTCAAGTTTGGTTTGCAACTCTTCTAAACGTTTCTGCAATTGCAATTCCTTTTCTTTCATAAGTTGCAACTCCATTTCTAAGGTTTGGCTAGTTGGATTCATTCTTATAGACTCTTTCCTATTTCGACTATCCGAGGAATCCTTGGAAGCTTCTTCTGATGGATAATGAGGGTGACTCAAAGGGTCAATGATAACATTCGGTGGATATTCAACCGATGAGATCGTTTTGTCATTCGACTGCAGATGATCCAATGCGACTTGAGGAGAATCATGATTTGCTTCATTCGAAGCAGCTGATGAGTCTTTGCTATCTGACTTGGCTTTCTTCTGTTTCCTTTTCTTTCGTTGGCTCTTTTTAGAACTTTTGGACTTGTTTGGTTCGGTCTCATCATTTGTTGTCACTATTCTAGTTTCTGTCTCATGTCTGTCGTTTTCTTCTTTCATAGCATCGACAATAGAAGAGTTCTCTTTGTTTGTTTTGTCTAAATTAGAGTCATTTTCCGATATATTGAAATGCCTTTGCTCCTTGTCAACAACAAGCTCCTTGGTGCTTTCCTCCTTTGTTTTGGAAGATTGCAAGCCTAATGCACATAAAAGGTTGACACAATGACATAGCTATCACATTCAAACTTACGGGTCAACAAGTCATTCAAAGAAGGAAGAGCATCCAATGAAACAAAGTGATTAACGACATCATTACCAAACATCATTTCCAATCTCTTCTCAGGAGTAATCCATTCATCATTTTCCAATAATGTGGGCGGCTCATGAAAAGCTTTCGAGTCACTTAACCACTCTGTAGTTGGATTTGTTCTACTTTTGTCCGAGTCACTTGGAGATAATGAGTCATCACTATCATGGCTTTCATTGTAGGAATGAAAATCAAAACGTGAAGACATTCTATTCTTGAAATGGTACATATCCAAACCAGGTGAATTCATACCAGCGACACTTTCTAATAACAATCCAGACATATCCAATGTTGGAAGCTCTCCAGTATCTGATAATATTGAATGAGGCTTCTCGTAGTTGCCTAGTGAATCATTAGAAAAAGTTGAATGCCTATTGTTTCATTCACTCACCATTGGAAAGATATTCTAAAGTATTACCAGTTGCTCTCTTTTCAAGGCTACCATTTTCTTCTGTATACAATAAGTTCTTCATTTTCTTCTTCTCACTAAAACATTCATCTTCATTACCAATCGAGTTATCATCCAAAGAAAGTTGTTCGTCCGAGTCAAGGGAACGACTCCATCCACTAGAAGCAGGTGAATGAGTGCTCATTCCAAGCTTTTTGTTTCTTTCCAAAAAACTATGTTGAGAATCTTCATAATTATGTTGTTTACGATGGTTTGGAAGATAATAACCAGGTGGAATGGAATGAGAACGAAACTTTTTCATAGAAAATAGATAATGTGGTGGTGGTGGAGCTAAACCAAGTGATTGTAAGGAATCAGCTGTTACTACATCTTCAGAATTTGCACTTTCATGTCGATATAAACAATACGGATTATCACACCACTGCGGTTGTCCAGACTCCAAAAAGGCATTGCAATATTTGGTCGTTGCCAAACTCACTCGAATTTTCGTATCATAAATAACTTCATTGTTCATTGCCTTTATAGCCTTAGTTGCAGCAGTTTCCGTTTCATAAAGTAGATAAACCACCACCCTATTTGTATTATCATCATCATCATCATTATTATTATTATTACTACTATATCCGAGGTTCCAATCGACTCTCGAAAACCACCACTTGTCCAACGACCTCTGTCCACTAGAACACGCAACAACTTACCAAAGCGTCCAAATAATTCTTCCCTTCTTAATACATCTGCTCTACAAATAGAAGAGACTAGACCTTTCACACAAATGAGGTTTTTCTGGATAATTCTTAACCTCTTCCAGTTGACGTTGTTGCGTAAGCGATGCTGTGAACAGGGTGTAGTACGAGTTTTGGGGGAATAAGAATCTGTTTCTGGAATATTTAAACGTTCCTTCTTCTTATTCAACCCTCTACGAGAAAACTGAGAGACAACTTCTGGGTCCAACTTGGTAATTGAAAAGTTTTCTTCAGTATATGGCGTTCGACAAGCAGGGCACTTGTCATCTTGTTGTTCTCGAATGTAGTGAAGACAATATAGACAAACCTTTTGTAAAAGGAGTCACAATAAGAAAGAAAGAAAGCAACAAATAACAACCCAACCTGATAACCACATAGACAAGGTTTCAAGGAAAGATCAGTCAGGTCCAACTCTTCCAAACAAAGTGGACAGTTGACAGAGTTGCACCATTCTTTTTCCATTACTTGCGTCATCTTTCACAGCAATTATTACAACAAGTTTATACACAAACCAAGCGCCAAAAATATCGACAACCTCCTTTTGCTCCCAATGGCAATGCACAAAAGCTTCTTCTCAAATGGTGCTGTCCTTCTTTGGTAAATAGTCAAACATGAGTGAATAGGGAATAGACAAATATTTTCTATAAGTATTTTTTGAGCAAATAAAAATAGTTTCATTGTTATATAAACATTTGAAATAGTTGTGCCTATATGAAAGTTATCCAAACAAGATTCCTTTCCATTTTCTCCTTTCCATGGGACTTGGTTTTCTGAGTGAGACGTCGTTGTGGAAGCCATCGTATTTTCGTCATTTTGTTTATTTGAATAGACCAAAAATAGTTTTGAGGAATATGACTAGTAGTGTTTCATTGGAATATACATCTGGTGGAATTCCTATCAACGAACAAGGACTACCAGATCCTTCCATACCTCAAGAACAAGCAGAATTATTAGAGTTTGGTTCAACTGGAGGTGTAAAAACACTTTTGCTTCATCGACCTAAAGCCTTGAATGCTCTTTCTACTAGTCTTTGTACTCGTTTGAGAGAGAGAGTGAGGAGATATGAACAGTCTGGTTTGGTCAACACCATTCTATTGAAAGGAGCAGGAGGAAAGGCCTTTTGTGCGGGAGGTGATGTAAGAGGACTTTATGACGCAAGAGGAGATAGGAAAAGTCAAGAGAAGTTTTTCCGCGAAGAATATAGTGCGGACTATATTTTAGGAACTTTACGAGGTATCACTTCGGTAGCTATATGGGATGGGATATGTATGGGAGGTGGTGCAGGAATATCTATTCACGGACCTATTCGAATAGCAACTGAGCGAACCATATTTGCTATGCCAGAGTAAGTAGTTCATATTGGATAGAAATGGAATAAAGTGATCTGAGAAGAACTTGAGATGTGGTATAGGACTGCATCCGGATGTCGGAGTTTCTTATTTTCTAGCAAAACTTCCTAATCATATTGGCATGTATTTAGCTCTAACTGGAGCTCGAGTAACTGGTCGAGATGTTTATCATGCAGGAATTGCAACTCATTATGTTCCTTCACATCGTTTATCGGATATGCTTCGTTGTTTGGAGGAGAGCGATACTTCTTCTTTACATGCAGTAAACAGTATTATTGGAGATTTTGAAGGACAGCCGATGGATGGCGAAGAAACCAGCGAATTTGTAAAACAATGGCCAGTCATCAACCGTTGTTTTGCTTGGAAAAGAGTGGAAGAAGTCATTCAGGCTTTGAAGAAAGAAGCAACGGAAACACAAAACCAGTTTGCAGAGGAAGCTTTGCAACTCATTTTGAAAGCTTCGCCAACTTCTCTTAAAGTGACTTTAGAGTCCATCGAACAAGCTTCACAAATGACATTGAAACAGACCTTACAAAAAGATTTTCGTATGTCGATGCATTTTATGAAAGGTCACGACTTTTATGAAGGTATTCGAGCAACTTTGGTTGATAAGGATAGAAACCCCAAATGGCAACCAAATAAGTTGGAGCAAGTGACTCGAGCCACTGTAGAAGAATACTTTAAGCCTTTGGGTAAAGAAATTCCAGATTTACAGCTCGAAGATAGGAAATGGATTGGTTAGAGTTCCTCATGAAAGGGACCATATTTCTTTTCTGATAGTACTAAATGAAACAAAGCTTGATCCAATGAACTATTGAAAGATGAATAGAAGCGTTGAAAGAACTTATTGGGTTCCTTGATAGGCTCCATACAATAAGAAAGATTGTTTTGAGTGCGTGTCTTTTCTATCATATCTTCAAAAGACCATATGTTCGTTGCATCTTCCAAACCACTCGCTTCAGACTTGACATCCAAAACTGCCAAGTCATCATATCCTTTTGGACTCAAAGCCAAACTTATTTTATCCATAAAAGGAAAGTGGTGCCAAAGTTTCCTCGTCATACTCTGATCGAGGCCCTGATCGAGTCCTTCTTCCCAAAGGGTCCAATTCACTGCTTCCAACAATGACTTGGAAAGAAATCGTCCTACTCCAAAATAGGAAGAGATTGGATTATTTTCGCAAAAATAGATACGTTGCAATTCCATTGTTTTCATATTCAATATCAAGTAATCTTGGAGACCTATGAAATGGATTCGTGGAAACCTATTACAATAATACAGTTGATACAAGTCAAACAGTCTATATTCACAAAAGTCATCGGAACCTATTATTATGATTCCATCAATATGTGAAGCTAAGCTGCTTTTACCCAGTCGTTGTAGTCCACAGTTGTGTTTATCAGATATGGGATAATTGGGACATTCCGTATAATAAACTCCAGACAAGTTGTTTGCAAGTTGATTTGAAAGCTTTCCTTGTGAACCTACGAGCCATAAAGAGATGGTTCCACGAAAGTGTTGTCTTAGTTGGGAGTGGTGTTGAATGACAAGCCTGACGAGAGAAAGTCTTTTCCATATCGTAAAAAACAATACAAAATGAGGAGAATTGGCATTTTGACAACGAAAGATCCTTGAAAGTTCACTATCTATGCTTAGATTGTGTTCACAACTGGAAAATTTGAAACCACTTTGACATAACAACAATAAAAGCCAACAACAACTCCCACCCACCAACAATCCCATCATCATTTTCTCTCAACCTTCGTCAAGTGAAACTACAGTTGATAACCAAACAACAACAACAACAGTGTTTTTTAATACAAAAAGAAAAACAAACTCAAAGAATCGATACTTTTAGATAACAAAAGCAATTCAAGTACTACAAGGGGCCAATTCTATCGAGATATTCTGTAAGTATTCAACACGAGGACTCTGTCCATTTATCGATACCGTTTCACCTGGAATAACCAGAACCTCCACCACCGCTCTTGCTTCCTTTGGACTTGTGGTCTTCAACAACGTTTTCCACTTTATCAACACACCACTTGCCACCGCGATAAACTAATTTCCCCGCTGACAGAGCAGCCATTCCCAAACCCTTTAACCCATCTTTGGCAAGTTCTCCACTGCTTTTCTTCGTTTTGTTACTTCCTTGACCACTATTATTATTGGGATAATTATCTGTTCCACTAGGATAGTTATTTCCACTATTATTCCAACCTGACATTGTCTATTTCAGTTTTTACTCCCCAATCGAATGGATTGATTTTGTATATTGTTTCTCATCATTACTTTAACCACAAGAGGAGACCCTTGATAGCCATCTCTCGTCCTATGTTTCGAAATCAATATGATACCGATGTGACTACTTTTAGTCCCCAAGGAAGATTACATCAGATAGAATATGCACAAGAAGCAGTAAAACAGGGAAGTGCGGTGGTAGGAGTTCGAAACAAAAACTATGCAGTGTTGGCAACACTCAAAAGAACCACTTCTGACTTGGCTTCAACTCAGAAGAAGCTCTTCAAGATTGACGATCACGTAGGAATGGCTATTGCCGGATTAACAGCAGACGCTAGATTATTATCCAAATATATGAGGACGGAGTGCCTCAACTATAAATACGTATATGAGTGTGCTATGCCTCTTTCCCGTCTAGTTCTTCGTGTAGCTGATAAACACCAAATTGCCACACAAAGAGTTTCTAAAAGACCTTTTGGAGTCGGTTTGCTTATAATAGGTTATGACCAACAAGGGCCTCATTTGTATGAAACAAGTCCTTCAGGAGAATATTGGGAATATCAAGCTATGTCAATCGGTGCTAGAGCGCAGTCAGCGAGAACTTATTTGGAAAAGGTTTTTGAAACGTTGAATAGTTGTTCTTTGGATCAACTCTGTAGACATGCGATATTAGCACTAAGAGAAACTGTTGCTGCACTAAAGGATATCGATTTGAGTACAAAGAATTGTGCTTTGGCTATTGTGGGTGAAGACTTGGATTTCACAATATACGAGGATGAAGATGTACTTCCTTATTTAGATGTGATAGAGACTGGGAGTTCACAACCAATGGATGGTCAGTCATCGACTTGACTTTGAAAGTATTTCACGAATAAAGTTGCAAAAATTCACTATCCATATTTTGTAGTACAATCGTAATCATAATAAGAGAGACATATGAATATGGAATATAGAAAAAGTGATATTGAAATTCCATCCATAGTAAGTCTCACTTTTCCCCACATGAATGAAGAATGTTTAAAGCAATGGAAAGATTCTTTTGAAAAGTTGGAAGCGATATTGAGTTGTGCTATTTGTTGCAATCCGCTAAAACACCCAACACTTCTTATAACTTGCTGTCATATATTTTGTGAGTCTTGTATAAAAGATGCACTTGCTTATGCTTCATATTGTCCAGTCTGTAAAGGAACAGCTAGTTTGCAATTCTTATGTGCAATACAAGTTCCCAATATATGCCGTATTGTGGAATTACTTTCCAAGATACGTGAAGTAGGAATATTTCAATCATACACTAGTGGGGTGCCATTGAGTAGGAACAACAAGAGACCTTTAAGAGAGTGGAACGAGCAAAGGAATCTGTCATTGGATTGGAAGAGTGCCAAGTTTTCAAGTAGGTAATTATTTCATACAAGTAATTATAGGCTTCTGAATAGTTGGGTCAAGATAAAGCAAACGTGCAGTCTGTTGTTGATAAGGATTGTGAAGACTCCACCATATGCATCTTACCTACTGGATTGGATGCCAAACAGTACACGTTTCTTAAAAAAGTGATAGCTAAACTGGGTCGAGCTTATTTAGCGACATCCTTTCATACTCAAGTGACGCATGTGATAACTGGCCATTATCAAGTGGAAGAAAAAGTAAAGAGAACCATGAAGTTGTGCATGGGAATGGTGAACCGTTGCAAGATACTCAGTTTTGAGTAAGTTTGTCTAAGTTGATGTTATCCAACATAGTTTTTTCACAACATGGATATTTATAGATGGCTTATTCATTGTCATATGGCAAGTGATTGGATAAATACTTTGGACTTTGAAATGAGAGAAACTCGGGTAAAGCCTGGTGCCTTATTTTCACATGAGCATTTCTTTTTAGAGGAATATAAAGGACAAGTTCCCAGTAAATATGAACTTGAACAACNGGTAAATATTGTGCTATATAGAATCATTTTATCTATCGAAATGTATAACATTTTCATAGATTACTTTAGGAGGAGGACAAATTACAACTGAATGGTTGTTATCGTCGAATACTGATATCCATACCATTCATTTTATTATTTCAACAGAGATGGACGAAATAGAAGTGCGTAGAAAATATTCAAATAGAGCACTTTCAACATTATATCCTCAACAATTATTGGATAGAATATGCTTACGTTCTCAAACTTTGTGAATTGAAAAGTTTCCCATAACAATATCAATTTTCTTATGCGGATCGTTTCCAACTTCAATATCTATGGGCCATAAATGATCAAGAACAAACCAAGTTATCAAAAGCGAGAGACTTCTTACCCAAGATTCTTTTGCCTAGACTGGTAACTGCCTGACCATTTGCTTGTTCCATAATATATGCCAATGGAGCAGCTTCACATAGAAAATGAACATTGCGAGCTAATAACACACCTCCTATCATACATATTCAATGTTGTAATCTATCTATTTATAGTTTTTCCTTTCATACCCATTCGAAGCACACTATCAAAGTCACCAATCAATGAGCCAGTATGAAATGTCTTTTCATTTTCTTGCAATACATGACTAGCAACTTCTCTAGCAAAACCTTCACAGTTTCTTATGTAAGAACGTTCTCCCCACAAAGTCTCGGTTTGTGGTACTTGTAAACGATAGGAAGGACTCTGAAAATATTGCTTAGCAACGGGATGAAGAAGAAACTCATACACTCCATTGCCCATAGTATAAAAAAAGGTAGTTGTAGAAGAATAAAGACAATAGCCTGCAGCTATTTGTTCCTTTGCACATTGTTGTAGATCGATACTTCGTCCTGGTAAACCAGTAGGTGACTTGCGCTCGTAAACAGAAAATATAGTACCACAGATGGACTGTTGTGGACATAAAAGATCATATTCTAAAGGACTGAGACATATGACATAATCACCGTGAGGCATATTGGAGGGACAAGTGTATGGCTTTGGATGATCCTTGAATAAAAATACACAAGCATAGCCATCGTGTGATAGGGCGTGATATAGTTGTTGAGTAACAAACTCCGCATTGAGAGAGTTGCCAACATATCCATACCTTGAGAACATGAGAAGCACTGAAAACTTCCAACTAGACTCACTGAATGTGTTCGCTGCCTTCGTTCACCAACGCCGAAATAGAGTGGGTTTCTGTTGATAAGTCATCCAAAAGCCTGATCAATTCCTATTACAAATATGACAATAACTATTTATGGCTGTCGTATTATGGTCACTCACTCCGGTAAAGTCCGAAGGATGGAGTCGAAAACTTTGACGTACATGAGCCGAGAAAACAACACCAGCCTTTCACAACCATTCAAAACTGAAAAGAAAACAATATTTGAGAAAACTTACTTTTTCTAGAGCAGAAAGAGTTTTCGAATCTGCTATAGGCGACTGAGGAGGAGAGTTGACCCATTGCGGTTCACCAGTTGTTTGCATGAATCAATAGATATTATTCAAGAGAAGTGGATCATTTCTGATTCCATGACATACTTATCGACTCTTACAATTTGAAGAAATATTGTCATACCCAAAAAATGTTTCGATCCATTTTGTATTTTAGGTATTCGGGAACTGAGCCAATGGCTAAAGCCAAATGGTATAGTTGGCCTTTATGCATTCATTCTCGCTTGAAAAATTCAAATTCTTTGGGCCAATCATCGTTATTCATTTAAAAAGGGAGTTGAGTGGTTCGTATGATGTATACTACAATTGCTTAATATTCCTTTGGTTAAGTTTTCAACTAATCCTTTTGGAAAAAGGCCAACCTTGCAAATCGACAACTATTTCTCATGATATTTTGAACCTTTTTCTTATTCTCAAGAATATGCTACCCGAAACAAGGTAATTGAACTCTTGTCCAATCTTCAAGCTCGCATAAACAATTTCTCGAATCTATAGAGAAGACCCTTTTTCTTTGTATGGTTCACTACCAACGAGTGAAAATCATTCTTCAACTTTGAATGACGCCTTGTGTAAAGAAATATGTTTGGATGATGGTAAAAACCATCCCGACGAATGTTCCACTTCGGCAAAAGATAGTCAAACACTATCAATCGCGTTACAAGAGTTTCCAATTCAATCCTTACCATGTAGTTCGTATTCGGATAGTTCTACCCAATCTATTTCTAGTTCCCAAGTGGAATCCTCTCACATGGATCATCCCATCTATTCCTCTTATAGAAAAGTAAGAAGAAGGTCGAAAGGGTAAGCACAATTATTCCAAGTTTTATATACATTTATACGTTCATGCACTAAAAACTCTTTTTTGTTTCTTCGATGACATTTCTAGTGGTTGGACATTAGAAGAAGATGAGGAATTGAAAAGACTTGTTTCTATTTATGGTGCACGAAATTGGAAAAGAATTTCCGAACACTTTGTGAATAGAAGTGATGTACAATGTCTTCATCGATGGCAAAAGGTATTGAATCCTGCATTAAACAAAGGCCCTTGGACGGAGAAAGAAGACAATATTATTTGTGAATTTGTCAAGGAACATGGACCAACCAAATGGAGTCATTTAGCAAAGTTACTTCCAGGTAGAATAGGAAAGCAGTGTAGAGAACGTTGGTTCAATCATCTCAATCCATCACTCAACAAAAAGCCATGGACACCTGAAGAAGAAGAACGTCTTATCAAGGCACATGCTGTTTTAGGCAATCGTTGGGCTGAATTGGCAAAGCTGTTTCCTGGAAGAAATGATAATGCCATTAAAAATCATTGGAACTCCAATCTTCGGAAACTAAAAACAAGAGAGAAAGGTCGACACCGAAGACGAATGGGAACAGTCGAAGAGGAACGAGAAGAGAAGGACAAGTTCCCGTCATTCCATTTAGGACAATCCAACTACGAGTATGATTCCATTTCAGAGTCGATGAAATGGACATCTCAGCCATTAGATGATGATGCAGTCATAGCCCATTCAACTGACCAAGAGAAGAATCTTCTTGAATCTGATTCCTTCCATTCTTCTTCCATCAACTATATGGAGTTGCAGATGATTCCTAAGCTAGGCAGTTTCCATTCTCATCAAGACTGGAACCAAATAGAAAATGCACAACAATCATCTCCTATTGTAATGGACAGTCGTCCTTCCAATATCTTTCAAGTGGCATCACCAACAACCAATTTGTTCTCACCTTCAGTTCCTATTCTATCATCGGAAGATGTGTCTTCTTATTCAAAGTCGAACGTTGAATATTCTTCATTTCTCTTCTCCCATTCAAGTCTTGACCAAAACCGCAGTTGGTTAGAAACTCCTAGTCAAACACCGAAGCAGGATTCTTCCAAACATATATCGATATTTCATCAAATACAAGACGAGGGTAATGAATATTATGCCAGAGATACTTTTATTGACGATAATTATGATATGAAAGAATCTCCTTTGAAGAGGCTCTATCCAGATACATCTCCTTCTGTTTATTTGATAGGCTCCAGTCCGACTCGCAAGAAACCTTTAAGAGATGCATCATTGGAAGAAGTCACAACACCCAATATGAAAATAGCAAAAAGTCAATCGGATCTTCTTCGTGCTCATTCCTTAGCCAACAACACATTTCCTGAAGATCAAACGGAAACTATCTATGCTTGTAACGACTTGGATGAACACTCCCAACTTGAAAGAACGGAAAGTATAGCAGTTCGAAAGTTTACTATCGGAGGTTTGTATTTATCGGATAAGAAATGTATTACGCCATATCAAAGAGCTTCTCAGTTACGGAGAACTCCTTGGATTGTTGACGCAACTAGAACTCCTCCAATTCTAAGAAGAAGAGGAAAGTCATTGCCGACTATTCAGTCTTCTTCAGTAACACCAACCAAACCCGAATCTTTTGATCCTTGGAAAGTTCCTACGAGTACCTGTGTAGACTTGCAAAGTACAACTCCAACAGAATCGACTTCAAGGATTGGCTTTTGGAAAGGTACTTCGCGTCATTCTTCACCTTTTCCGTCAAGAACGTTAAGCCTATTACAAGAGAGTCTATCTCCAGAACGCTTACTTTACGACTTTACGACCTTGTTGGATACTCCTAAGAGAGGACCATCTTATTTCGGATGACTCAAAAGATAAAATGTACAAAGCTTCAATTGTCTCTTTTCACTCTTAGAAAAAAATGATGCAACACCAAATAAACTTTATTTCCTTTAAAACATGCAATCTTGTCGTTCTCCATTGAGAACATGCAACATGATTTTGTTTTGTTTGCTTGGAAACAATTTTTCTACGAGTCGACACAAGTTGCTGTTGTTTCTCTCATATCTGGCAAAGACGATCAAGCACGCCTTACAACTGTGGAATTCCAGAACCACCACCTTGAGAAGAACCACCAAAGTTCAAACCAGATGATGCACTAGTAGCTGAAGATGATGGAACAGTTACAATAGTTTGTACAGGCAAAAAGGAGTTTGTTGTGGACGGATTCAAGTTTGGAACTTGTCCAAGTTGTACGTTGGGTGATGTGACAGAAACATTGCTCGAAGGAACGGTCGGAGCAGAACTATTCGTTACTGCATTAAAAAATAGTTGTACTACTTGTTCGTTGATCCATCTATCAAATGCAATCAATTCATGAAAAGAGAAACCAAAAAACAATATAACGGCACAACTTACCCAAAATAATGGATACCATCGGTTGTCGCTTCTTTCGTGTCATTAAAGGCATTTACTGTTACGTCATATCCATTCAATACACAAGCAGTACTGTTCAATCCTTGAGTAGCCACTTCATTGATACGTTCAACATCTGTGTTGTTATAAGGCAAATGAATCTGAAGTTGTTCAGGAGTCAATGCATATGCAGCTATCCAAAAGTATTTGGCACTCTTGTCAGAAGAGAAGCATTTGCTCAAGTTGCTAACGCCTTGAGAATAACCTGCAGTCGTAACATTGGCATCCTTTTCAAACAATTCCCATTGTCCAGCTAAATCATATAATTAAGTTCAAATACTTTTTCGAGGAGTATATACTCACCATCCATGATATTGATATCACAAGATAAAGTATCAGGACCACTAGGAAAACTATAATTGGAACCAGGAGTAAAACCTGAAGGAACTTTCATGGGACATTCTATATCAGAAAATTCTGGAGCCCATCGCCAATATAATTTGACAGACAGATTGTCCGACTTGTCTACAAGATCAAAGTAATAAGTATCTTGAGGACACTGTGCAAAAGCTAAATACATATATTCAGTTACTTAAAGTAGACCACACAACAAACAACATTATTACTTACGTGCATTGCAAAAATCATTGCCATTTTTGTTCACTGGAATGGCACTTGAGTGGTTGGAGAGAATTTCGACCAAAGCATGATAGAACTGTCGACTATTGCCATCGCCTTGGACACAAACTGTTTTGTTCTTTAGAGCATTAAAGGCGGTTGCCCTATCATCATTCATTTAAAGTTTACTAGTTGATAGATTTCCATTTCATTCATACATACCCCGCAATGTTTGAAACACCGTTGCTTTTAGCCTCAGAGGACCATGTCCAATTCTTTACTCCACTCCACTTGCCTAATAAGGTAGTGTTGGTAGAGTATCCACATATCCAAGGTTGACCCAAAGATGTTCCTATCACGGTGAAGTTGCTTGTAAAATTGGCAAGTCGGGAAACGTAATTATTTGCATAGGATACATCATCTACTTGTGTATATGCCAAGCAGTGATTGATAAACAAAAAAGCAACTAGAAAGCGACAAACAAGGCGTATCATGATGAGAAAGTCTTTGAAAGTAAATGAACCGCTGTACTCTATATCTCCAAGAAAAAAAGGACTAGACCAAATAGTTTGATGCAGCTATCGAAGAATTTCAAAAGTGGAAACAGAAAAATGCTGGTTCTTTTACGAGGCATTTTTCTTCGCAATGGAATTTTTGGAATGTGAGCGACTTTACCAAAATTCAAATTATCCACAAAATGCTCGTTTCTTATGTGGATGGAGCATTTTTCTTCTCTCGAATTTTATACAAAATATTTATCGATTTTACACGCAACATAACTGCGCAATAATATTCATGTTTGCTTATGCACGAAAGTCAGGCTGTTCTGTGGTGGCCAATACTCGATGCCACATACGACTGTTTACATCGACCTATTGTATTACATCATCATAAGTAATTGGTTATTCAATCAAGATAAATACTTGAAATACCTTGATTCTTCCTCTAGAACACAGCTCATGCATGGGAATAATGGAATATTGAGTGTTGATAACTCCAATAGTAAAACCACTTGAATATCCCCCCTCCCAAGTCAATCAAAGCGCCAGGACAAAAAGGAAACTTACCCTCGACCCGCCATGGCACTGTGTACTGCAGATTGAGCTAGCAAGCCACACATCAAACAATCACTCGCATTTGCAGGAATACTGCGAATCATATAAGTAGGATCAATATATCTAGGCCAGAATGTTGGAGCTTTTTGTCAGAACTGGTTCCTTCTTACTTTAATGTTACTTCAATTCCTTGTTGTTCCGAAAACCAGGAATTGATACGGTCTTTCAGGAATAATCCAATATCTGGCATTTTGATATTACCTAACCAGGGCATTGTTAACCTAAGTAATCACTCACTACACTTTCTATCAACATACCCGAAGCATCTCTCTTGGACATATCAACTTCATCCTTCAATATGTCCATACCAGCACCTTCTGCAACAACAATGACACAGTATCCTTTTCTTTTCAACAAACTTTTAATATACTGCAACAAACCCTAATAGTGCCATACGTATAAAATGATGAATAAATCAACAAAATATTCATTAATACATACACAACTTCCTTCTAGGGTAAAAGAAACTTCGGGAATCAAACAAATATCTACGTCATGTGAGGCCAAAGTTGCATACATTGCAATATATCCAGAATTTCTACCCATCAGCTTCACCAATCCAATACCTATCGAAACACAATTTGTCAAACTACAAACTTGACATATTCACTGCTACCATTTTGTGCACTTCTGGCTTCAACAACTGCACTACGAATGGCTCGTTGTGCTTCTTCTACTGCAGTATCAAAACCAAAACTCTTATCGATAAGGGCAATATCATTATCAATGGTTTTCGGAATGCCAACTACCGATACTTTGAGTTTTCTATGAACTACTTCATCTGAATTTCCTTAGTTTGACTTGCTGACAACCAAAGATTTCTCTTTCCAGACTCACCATGAATCTTTATTGCACCACGCTGAGTTCCATCTCCACCAATTATATATACTTGGTTAAAGTTGTTATCTTCAATAGCATCCACTATCTTTTTCAAATCAAAACCTCCTCTTGAGCTTCCAAGATGTGAACCTCCTTGATGATGAATACTAGCAACATTTTTATCCTACCAATGACACAATAAATAACAACGTTGACTTTTCAAAACAATCTTCTCCTTACCGTCAAACGAATATATTCTATTTCCGGAGAATAGAAGCCACGATAACCAAAAGGAACTTTCAAACAGCAAGTTAAATGTAGTTGTTCAGAGTTGCAAAGCACATACTTCCGTATACTTCTTCCACACCATATAAATGATGCAGAGTGTTGTAGATTTCACGAACTACGCTATTGATACCTGGACAAAGCCCTCCACATGTCACTATTGCAGCCTATCAAGAAATGTAGACTTGAATATTCCACTCCTCTCAGAGATTTATTTGACATACTTTGACAGACTTGGGATGGAAAGATATGGTTTCTCTAGGTCCTGAGTATTGTGTTGGTTCAGAAACACCAAAACTTTACAAAACTTCAACACCAAAATACCTGCTCGAAGAAATTCTCTTGAAGCCGTTGGTTGAGTCACATGGCCAATAATATCTACTAATACAGTCTCTTCATCTGACACAAACGATAAACCAAGATTAAAACGTTCAGGATTAGACTTGAATGGTGAAGGATAGGTTCCGCAGGGTGCCCAAGAACAAATCTGCCAAAAAATACACAAGTAAACGTATTTGTCAAAATATTATCCACAATTGCAAACCTTTGGAGGAAATACTCTGGAAAGATCTCCTCCTGTTCTTGGCTTCAATATTTTGGAATAGTCTTCAAAGCGAGGATCATCCAAGTGCGTGCGATCAAAAACCTTGAAGAAAATAAACAATATATGTCACAGCAACTGGATTTTCATACCTTGGGTAATTCTGTTTCACTATCTTCTGTATTACCTGTTACTTGAGCAGCTTCAGCCAATTTGGCAATGGCAGACTCGCTCTTCTCCATACTAAATGGATAAGGATTGGAATGAGCAGTCAAAATGGGCATCTCAGGATTGTTTTTCATTGCTGCTAAAATAACCTCAGCTGAATCCATGGCACGTATCTCATTTATATATTCTACTCTCTTTCATATTTCATGTGATGCTACTTTCTAAAGATTCGTAACTTTTGCATGTTCATGGAAGAAAAATGAAATTGCATGCATAGGAAGCCATTTTGTATATATCTGTCTGTTCTCTCAAAAGATTTGGAGTCTCTTGAGAACGTTACACAGTAATAGCCCGCCACATAATTCTGGAAGCCCGCCGAACAAAATGTGATTTGCTGATTGGATAAGGACTGGTTCGATAAATGATTCGGGATGTTAGAGTATCACAACTAAAGCCAATAGTTTCTTTGCATATCTATTGCCTTGTTATATGAAAGAAGACCATAAAAACCTTACACTGTACTCACATAGGCAAATTCGAAAGCGTTCGGTGTTTAGAAAGAGTTTATTACGATACTTGGCGTGTTGTATTTTCTTGAACGACCCATACCCCTTGTTAGACAATTCTTATAACTTTGCTTACTTAACAAAACGAGCAGCTGAAGACGTATTGTGTTCTGCATTGGAAGACAACGCAAATTGGGTTATCGAAACTTTGGAACATTTGCTCCCGGAAAAGAATCCTTGTGATAGGTTGTGTCCAAACCACCTTTGGCATAAGCAAGGAATTTGTCGTCATTTCGACTCGCATGATTGGTATTTAGTATACAGTGCTTGTTTATTGGAAAAATTTTTCAGTGAACCCTTTGTAATATTGCGTTGTGCTTTACATTCGGAGATCTATTTTCGTTTATTTCTTCCTCTTTCCCGACATTTCATATCTCCTACTATTGACCAAATTTCATTTTCTGCTTTATCAAAACACACAACGACTAAGAAAACCGCAAAGAAATCTTTTATGAACCCGGTTCAGTCCTATTTTGAATATATATTGAGTCGAGAAGTAAGTCAAGACGCTTGTCGGATACTTGTGGATAAAAATGAATTTGTAGGTTTTGGTTAAGAAAAGTTTGTGTAAACGCGGCAGGAGATTAGTAAAAGATTGGGTTTCTATTTGTGCTCCACATCTTTGTTCTCATATAAGACCGCGTATTACTTTACATGAGCATGAAGACCTTGTCGCTTCTTTAAAGTTTCTTCCATCTCCCTCTTCCAGTACACCCATTTTGTGTACTTTTGCACTGGATGATAAAATTCGACTATTCAGAGGTGCTCATTGTAGTCTTGTAGTAGCTGGACCTCTTCAACAGACTGGAGGGACTGTGATATCTCAAGGTTCAACAACCCATCGAGTTGGCCAAGTTGCCGCATGTTCCTTGAGATCGGAATTGGATATCTTTGATATGGAAGTAGGAGAACGAGTTAGTTCCATGTTTGCTCCTTCTTCTTTGATTGTTCCAAAAGGTCGAATCGAATGGTACACTATAACCTCTTCATGGAATGGCTTTATTGCTACTGGAGGTAATTATGGAGTAGTTGCCTTGTGGGATTCTCGAGTGTCTCAGCCTGTAGAATTTTTCCAAACAAGTAAGAAACCAGAAGAACAAAAGATTCGTTCTGTTGCTATAGACCCTACGGAAACTCTATTAGGTGCTGCTTGTGGACGAACAATCTACATTTGGTAGGCTTTGTATGATTTTGAGAAATGGAATGGCATCTCATTGAAATGATATTTGTAGGGATATTCGAAATTCTTTTTCTATTTTTAAGACTGTTACTTCATCATCCCATTCACAAGGCCCTATTGACCACATCTTATTCGATCCCCTTGATAGTTTTAAGCTTTATGCAGGTTACAGAGATGGAAGTATTCATTCTTTAAATATATTGAAAAATAACAAACCTTTGGAGAAAATATTCAAGGAACATGAAGCTCCTAGTGTTGCCAATAGACCAGTTTCTGTGAACTTTGATGCATCACCTGATGGTCGACATCTCTTTGGTTTATCACGTTTTGGAAAAGTGGCTGTATATGATGTTTTAGGTGATGCATCTATAGAGTCGAAGACCATACGCAATCATTCGTTGGGTAGTACATCCAGTAGTCAAAGTGTGACTATTTCTTCTTCTTTGGAAACTCCTGTAAGGAGAACAAGAACAGCTTCTTTTCTGGGTACTTTAGGAGATGAGTCTTCAGAACTTCTTCGGATTGCAACTGCACAAAACCTGAATTCTGGGAGCGATATTTTATTTGCAACAGCGTCCACTTCATTGGATGTGACGCTTTGGGGAATGAAATGACTTGGTTTAAAAATGAATTGTGTGTGTGTGTGTGTGTGTGAATGTACAGAGCAATTGGTTGTAGCTAGGAATAGTATGAATCTCCATCTTTTGGTTTCTATTTATAAGCATGTTTTGCTTGTTGCAATATTTGAATGATATTCTAACCATGAAAAGCTTTTACATTTTATAGGATTTGTAAGATATTGATGAACAAATGATAAAGTATTTCAAGACAGGTCACTGTCCATTAGACCAATCGTTCCTTACAAATGTATCCTGTTCAGTTTATTATATCTGTAATCCATAATGAGATACATAAGAAATCCATTTCTCGAATGTCTTTTTCATGAATACTTATGTATGGTTATTTCTTGACAAACTCTTTTTCCATCTCTGAAAAAGAACAGAGATTCAAAAAAAAGACGCCGTCAAGAAAAATCACAATAGGATTTCCATTTTCCTATTTTTTTTTTTAAAAAAAATTGGACGCTGTTTTGATTGCCAACGATATACATATATGTTTGTCTCGTCTCACAGATGCAGTTTCAGACTTCTGATGAACACCCCAACAGTAACCAGAGCAACTGCTTCCTTCCATCTACTTTGTCAGGTGAATCAGCTGCAAGTTCTGAAACTTGCTTGCAACAGGGATTGTTTGGCAGAAACAACCGTATGATTCCTCCTAGTCCTAGGCCCATTCGATTTTGGAGAGGGAGTTATACAAGTCGACATGAACTGTTATTTTTTCCCAATGATGAGTTAGACTGGCCTTGTGGAAGAAGAAGAAGAACAACGACAGTTCATGTGATTTGGAAGAGGAATCGCTCTCAGAAGTTGAGACGTGGGAGATGGGTCAGACAGTGAAAGACGTCGACAAAGGCTCTGTTTCTCAAGAAGATATGCATTTACAAGATTGTCAGAATCCATTTTCGGATAAGAGACATACTTCGGATGGGGAATCTTCTTCACTTGTTTCAGAAGAACGTTCCTGTGTGACGAACCCTTTGGCAACGGAATAGGGAATATCATTGTCCAAATAGTTTGGATATATGAAGATATCCATATGAGTCATGGTTGTGATTGTGGTTGTTGTTATGAGATATGTTAGGAGATATACCAATATGATGATGTTGTTGTTGTGTTGATTGGGCAGTTGAACTTACAACTTTTTCGTTTTTGGGGGTATTGGAGGTCTTATATATGTGTTGGGGGGAAGAGAAAGAAGGAGGTGGACAATTAGAAGAAATAATATTTCTTTGTTTACTTTGTATTTTCATTTTGTGTGTCATATTTTTGGATATAAACAAATGCATTAGTTTTATGTTTTCACAAGTTGATGATAAAACGTCCATTTTTTTGTGGGTTTGTAAAAGATGCTTTAGTTTATGCTGTCTTTATGTGATAAATACCAATGAAACACATGTGGAAGTTCCAAAATGGTACGTGGAGATAATCGTATATGGACACGATGTGACTTGGAATCAGTTTTTAACCAAAGCCTAAAGTTTGTGCATATCAAATGAAGAAGAAGCCCATCTCTAAAACAACTTACCATTGGTCTTTGGTCAACTTGTCCAAAGCACTATCCACTTCCATAGGCTTCAACTTTCTATCCAACAACGAAAGCAACTCACGCTTGTCTAATTGTTCTTCAGTTGGGTTTTCTTCCTTTTCTAAAAAGGAATCCACCACCGTTCTCAATACAACGATATCCGTGTCACTATACTTGTTCATCTTTTGTGCAACCATATCATCTTGTGTGTTGACTATCGACCAATAAAAAGTATCCTCTTCTTGTACCCATATGCTATTCAGTGTTAACCCTAATACTTCCAACTTTCTAAAAGTAGCCACAACACCCAATGACTCGTGTTCTTATCCCAAAACCATAATACCACTTACTCCTTATATTTGGCAACTCGACAAGTAAAATATTCTTTCAGTTCATTCCTCGTGACCCCTTTTTCTCCTCTTTGTAATACCCATTTATTCAATTCATTCAACAAATCATCTTCAGATATTACTTTATGTTGTACAAGTACTTGTAAGAACTTTTTATCTCCATCCGTCCACATATCGTTATTCATAAAACAGCCCATTTCAATAACACAAAACGATCATACACATGATTGATTGACAATAGCTTATAAACGATTATCTAAATAATGACGAATGAGTTTCCAAGTAATGCCAATGGCACACAATCCCACTCCTGTCCAAGCACAATACCTTCAACCATTCAATATCAACAACAACAACATATCAATCATGCTAAGCTTACTTACTTTGCCAATGTACGGAATTCTTCATAAACTCGTTGTCTCTCTTCTTCACTTAGCTTCTTATTCTTCTTCTTCTTTCTAGTCGTCTTGTTCAAAGGAGTTGATTGTTGAAACACAGGAATATCAGGTATGACAAGAGAAGGATCTAAACTATTGGCTGCTTTCAACAATAACAATGCTCTAGTCACATCCTGTTGACAACCATTTCCATGAAGATATAAAACTCCCAAGTTGTACATGGCATAAGGGTTTCCATTATCTGCTCCCATTTGCCAAAGTTGTATAGCTTGTTCCCAATTCTGTTCAATTCCATAACCTCCTTCACTATATAATAAACCCAAGTTGAATACTAACAAAGTTTCCAGTGGAT